AGAACTGGATTTTCCATCACAGTATTGGATACCTAAACTACATAAGTGTCCTTACAAACAACGGTATATTGCTTGGTTTTCCAAGCTCTCCACGAAACCTCTTTCTAAATTATAAACATCAATTTTATCATCAATCAAAGCCGGGCTTCAAAGTTATTGTGAAACTACCTATTCTAGAGATGGCGTGAATCAGATTTGGATACTAAAATAATTCCAAAGCTCTTTTGGAGTACATACGATCTAAGACTCTTTCATCTTGCAATAGTATTAAAACATTTGGCTTGTCTACACTTTACACAAGTATTCCCAAGTCCGAACTAAAAGACAAATTGAAAGAGTTCTGCTTTGTTTCATAAAAAAACATGGTCAACGTAGATACAAGTATCTTGTCTTACGGAGGGATAAATCCTTCTTTGTAAAAAATTACTCTGATTCTAACAAAAAATTCTCTGAAACTGACATTAACAAGATACTTGATTTCTTGATTGACAACATATTTGTTACATTTGGAGGATGTGTTTTTCAACAAACAATCGGCATTTCCATGGGAACCAATTGTGCCCCTCTTCTTCCCAACTTGTTCTTTTAATCATATAAGGCTGATTTCATACAGGAACTTCTTAAGTTGAAAGAAAAGAATTTAGCAGTATCCTCTAACTTTAATTTCTGCTACATAGATGATGTTTTGTCACTAAATAATTCTAAATTTGATAACTATGTTGAACGCATCTATCCCATCGAACTTGAGATAAAGAATACAAGAGATACAGTTAAGTCTGCCTCATATCTTGACTTACATCTAGAAATTGACAATGAGGGTCGGTTGAAAACAAAACTTTATGACAAAAGACATGAGTTCAGCTTCCCAATTGTGAACTTTCCAATTTTTTGTAGCAACATTCCAGCAGCGCCTGCATACGGAGTATATATCTCAAAGTTGATACGATACTCCAGGGCTTGTGTTTCCTATCATGATTCCTTGATAGAGGGTTGATGCTCACACCGAAGCTATTAAAACAAGAGTTTCAAGTTGGTTGACCGTTACGAAATATCCGTTTCACAGATGATAGCGGATATGTTCCTAATGTCGTAACTACAATCCCGTCCCCTTTTCCCGAATGTGACCTACCGAATTAGACTTATTACCGGGTTTGTACTACCATGAACAACACGACAGGTGTCACAAATGGAGCAGGATCTGCTTACAATTCTGAAGCCCGAGTTTTTGGTGGGGTTCGTGTGGCTCAGTCTTTAGTTTTCTATGTTGTGTTGTTGTACTATTGTTTGTTTGTTTGTTTTTTTTTTTTTCTTTTTTAGCCATGGCTTTGTCAGTTTATTTTCTACTTATGACTTTGAATGTTCCTTTGGTATCTTTCGCCTCTTTTTTGGTCATGGTTTAGTAAGGTTACTTCCCAGAAAGATTTCCTTAGTTCTTTTCACATGAGCAAATAAAAAGCAAATAACATTTATGAATCTATATTGTAAGTCAAACGATCTAAATTGAAACTGTTGTATTTTAGAAAGTAAGGATAACCAAAATATCGAATTTGGTATGGTTTGGTTAAGCGGTTGACATGGTTCAGTTAAGTGTCTAGAAATTCGTCATGGTTTTGATCAAATTTGTCTTTTCTCATGAGCAAATAAACAGCAAATAACATATATGAATCTATATTGTAAGACAAACGATCTAAATTGAAATTGTTGTATTTAAGAAAGTAAGGATAACCAAAATATCGAATTTGGTATGGTTTGATTAAGCGATTGACATGGTTCAGTTAAGTGTCTAGAAATTCGTCAAGGTTTTGATCAAATTTGTCATAGTTTGGATCCAAATTATTACATATTTATTTCATCTTGATATTGATAGTTTTTTTAAGGCGCTTGTGAAAAAACGAAATTACACAATTTACCAATTGACTAAGAGGGACGTAATCGGCAAACCGTACATTTATACATTTTTACTTTTGGAGTGTTCCTAAGATAGAATTTATATATAGCCAGAGCTCTTTTTAACTGACATTCGACAAACTAAATTACAAAAACATCAAGCATTGTTTCTGTTTCACCTAGACTCTTTTCTCCATATGTCCCAGATGGACTCTACCGGGGATATCGTGAGTGGCGTCACTAGTCAAATGATTAAAGACGTCTACTTAGAGTTGCAAAACGTAGCAGCTAGCAAAAAAACAATCTATGTTTTATATGTTTTCTAGCAAAATATGTATCTGTTGTTTTTATTTGAACCAGATTTTTTTTTGTGATAAATAAAAGGTGTGGGGTTATACGCCCATGATACGGTAATCCAACTACACAACTAACTAAACGATATCGAGAGGGCACCATACAGTCTTCAGCACTCCACGGAACAAAATGTTCACATGGACAACAGTTTAAACTTATTTTTTAATAAAGTATAAGTGAAATTACAATAAAAAATAATTTTAAAGTTCCGAATTTAAATATATGAAAAATCACAATTTAGAATTAGAAACAGGTCGATATGATGTCCATTTTTATCAATCATTAATACGAATGAAGGAAAATGATGATGATTTTATCATATGGTATAAGTTTATTGTGTAGTATCACTTAACCAGTTTAAGCATTTTTTTCTTTTCTGTAATAAAGTTTCGATAGTATCAGAAATAAACTCTGTCGGTCAGTATTTAGTATGAGAAAATGTACATTATTACATGTGATTGAAAAAAAAAAACTATTTAAATTCCAAGATACACGTGTTATTTTGTTTAGTACAAGTACATTTAAACTGTGTTCGACCTTATTTCTGGCCCGCCTAGAAGAGAAATTACCATTCTTAATAGCAGAGAATAAGATGGTTGGCTTAATATTGGCAGCAGAATTCCATTCTGAAATTATTTTTTTTTTGTATTATCTGTTATTGGCTTGGAACTACCAGTAAATGCAAATACTCGCAGATCGGCTCTGTGTGTCTTTGGGGTTTATGTGACATGATTATTTTGCTTTATATCGATCTGATGAGTAAAGTCCTTTTCCGCTGATTTTTATAGTTTGTTCATCTTTGGTGAGCTGTTTCACCACTGCCCAGGTTGTTGGAACGCGCAAACATGTTAAACGCCGCCATGTATGTACCTGTCCTAAGTCCAGAGTATGTAATGCAGTGGCTGTCGTTTGTTGCTGTATATCATATCTGATTTACGCTTATTGTTTTGAACATAAATCAGGCCGTTGGTTTTCTCATTTGAATTGCTTTACATTTGATATTGTCAGAGCCTTTTATTGCCTACTAAGAGGTATGGGTTTTATTAATTGTTGAAACCGTACGGCGATCTAACATGTTCGTCATTTGGTCTCGAGTGGATAGTTGTCTCATTGGAAATCATACCACATCTACTAATTATATATTGCTATGTGCTTTCTTAGGTCCTTTTGTATTTCAAATAAAAACTACTTTGAAAGAAAATTGATATTGAAATGCATTAATATATTATCGTCGTGATTTCTTTATACATGCGTGCTCTATAATGATAATTATAATTATAGTATCTTAAATTTACTGTAGAGCGATAATTTTTCGTGAGTAGAAGATCAACGTAAGTATGTGAAACTGCGATCTACTCGTATGGGAACAAAACAACAACATTAGGAAATGGCAACTAAATGTTGCCTAAAGATAGGATAGAATGGGTTAAACGCGAAAAAAAAGTATCGGCGACAATATTGTTTTTAACAGTATTTCAATATTTCTATAAAGTCTGTTTATTTTGATCCTTACTCTTCTATCATACACGACAGTAATATCAAAACTGAACTATGTCGAACATGAACTAAACCATGACACTACTGAACCAAACCATGACACCGAATTTTCAGTACTCTTAAATTGTGTGCAAATGTCGCTTTTCTTTTTAATAATTGACGGCAGGTTTATATCATAACGAAATATGTGATGTAACAGACGGTAAGCAAAACAATTTTCCTTATGCATAAGAAACGAATAACTTTTAAATTTTGACATACGCAGGCATTATTTTGTGCCACATTATTATCTATATGATACAAATTATAATGTACTAACATATTAGCCATAAACAAATATACTTCCCAGCTTGAATCCATGTTCAGAAGTTCCTTTAGCAAAAAATCCAAATGTTTATATTGTTTCATTGTTTGTCATTAAAAACACTTAACAACACAATCATCTCAAACATAACCAATAAAAGCAATAGAAGTATACCGCTGTTCAATGGTCATAAATCTATTTAACTGAAACACATCCGGGTCACAAACCAAAACTGAGGGAAACACATCCACTATTAAAGGAAAACAACGGAACAACAGAAACACTGAACTGCTACAAAAACAAACGCCAACATAAAAGAAACGGACTATTTGATAACAACTATTACAAAATCACTGTACTAAACGCTCCTCGATATGACGACCCAGCGGTAGAAAATGAAAATATGGTGAAAATGGACCTAAAAAGAAAAGCTACATCAATCTAAGATCACCTTTACCTGAGGGAGTTGAAAAAAAAAAGTTTCTGAATAGTTTATATACACATGTTGCATGTCTATTGTATAGATTGCATTGCATATGCTATTGTTTATAATGATACTATTTATATGCTATATGTCCTGGTCCCTAATTTGGTGAATACAATTATTCTACTCTATCCAATTCTATTCTTTTCTATCCTATATTATTTTACTGACAATTTAAGTAAGGTAACATGTTATATACAGAGGTCTTTTCGTTGTTTGTGTCATTGAGGTGTTGCCTTTTGATGTTTACCTGACATCGTTTTTATATATATATCTAATAAATCAAAATGTTTGTTTAGTCTAAGTTATCTCCCTTATAAGTTATATAGTATAATGAATAGGATATGTCAACACATATCATGTTTATTGCTGTTATACGGCTATTATACCTAACGTGTAGTTAATTTGATATGTGTGTGATGAACCTGCGATATGATAGTACAGTTACAGTAATAAATAGTACTTCTGTGTTCACCTCTTTTTAAATCCGTCTATACACACCTGAGTGTAGTAGGCGTGACGTAAATAGTTATAAAAGTAAACCTTAAGAAAAGGTGAAAAATGGCTAACAGAGGTTCTTTCTGGTTTTTAAAAAATGTGTATGCCATAAGGAGCTTGATTATAATTATAATTGCCTTCGTAGGACCATGTATTCTGCTTACTAGTAAATGTGATACTCCGGTAAGTAGTAAGGACACATATTAACTTGTTTTAATATCTGCTCAATAGTTATACAGCTAGTGCATATTGTAAATCTGTAAATATGTTTGCGTCGACAATCGCCTAATCTGCGTCGTTTTTTTTTTTTTTTTTCTCTCTTTTTTTTTTTTTTTTTTTTTTTGTATATATCTTTATTTTCACAAACCAAATTACAAAGGTAAAGAGATAAAAATACATATTTAATTACAATTATATTAGTACATATATCAAGTACGAAAGAAGATAGAGACATTTACAGTTATTTACACAGAAAAGTTCAAATTGTTGTTGACCTCCTTAATCAGTTTACACAGCTCATTTCCATGTAGTTCTGAACAAGTTTTGGAATTCATTAAATCATAATCTTCATAGTGTAAGGTATATTCCTATTCTGAAATCTAATACATTTATGGGATGCCAAAAACCTATTTCTAAATCCATATCGACAAAACAGTTGCTACCCTTATTCTTGATTTTAAGTTGATAAGTTGATGCTTGTCTAGATACTGATTAAGCTAGTTAATGAAATTAATTTTTTGTCTTACGACATATGGTCTACACACAAATTTAGGTGAAGAAAAAACACTGATTTAACCACATTAAGTGTCTGTGTCTGTACCAAGTCAGACTATATGGATCATGTGTTTTCTTTGTTGTTTATCTTTGTACGTTTTTTTCTTCTTCTGCGGAGTTTGATGTCGGAAACATTTTTTTTAAGCAATTAAGATTTCTTATACATGTAATTACAAAAAAAATGTTATTATTATTTTCATTTTTGGACACGACAACACAAAACACAACTCCTATATGATACCTCGGTAGCTTTTACTTAAGAATATAATCTGAAATATGTTTACTCTTGATAGGAACCACCTAATCTTATTGATTTTGCAATGTTGAATATATATTATATAAGTTTGAATGTACCAACTTTACCGAAATCTAACTAATTTAAATAAATACGATACGACTTACCTATATTATGCGTTAAATAGAAAACTATCAAAAGCAAAAACATAATAATTATTATCAAATTAAAACCAAACTAAATATTACAAATATGTACTTTCACGGTACTACTATCTGTCGATACCTATAGTTTGGCATTGCGCAAGGTCATGTTTTTTTTTTTTCTGACTGGATATTTTAGTCTTAGATACATGATTTTTTTTCATTAGTTGTTATTGGCTTTGAACTATCTGCCAGTAACTGCGAGTACTCTCAGATCTCTACTCAGTGTCTTTTTGTTGTGAGGATGTATAAGTAACCGTTCACGTTCACTCGGTGTTTTTTTTTAGATGTATTTCTATTTGTATCTATCTGATGAGTAATGCCTTTTTCAACTGATTTTTATAGTTTGTCCTTATGTTGTACTGTTACACCGCTGTCCCAGGATAGGGTAGGTTTGGGCGCTCACAAACATGTTTAACCCCGTCACATTCTTTATGTGCCTGTCCCAAGTCAGGAGTCTGTAGTTCAGTGGTTGTCGTTGGTGCATGTTTGTCATATTTGTTTTTCGTAAATCGTTTTGTTATACAATAAGCCGTTGGTTTTCTCAATTGAACTGTTTTATACTTTTCATGTCGGGGCCTTTTATAGCCAACCATACGGTATGGGGTTTTATTTCGTTGTTGAAGGCCGTACGGTTGCATATAAATGCTTACATCCACTTCATTTGAACTTTGGCGGATAGCTGTCTCATTGGCAATCATACCACATCTCCTTATTTCTATATATAAAAAAAATCCAATATGTATGTATACTTCAATTGTATTGAATGATTCGAAAAGTGATTTAGTTTCAATCTGAGTTTTATACACCGAAGTTATTCTAAGTAAGTATTGTTTCTGTCTGTCGTCTCATGTTTAGTTTCGGATTATAATTGTCATAACTGTATAATGGGTCTTTTCACAAAATATCGTGTACCTCAGAGTGTTAGTCTCTATTATTTAGAGACCCATTCAAGCGAATAAACTCATCATAAATACTCGGATTATAATTTTGTACGCCAGACGCGTGTTTCGTCTCAAATTATTCCATAGTCCACAAAAATAAAAGTTTGAAACAAAAATGCTTACATTTTCATTGTTGGTGTAAAAGTTGTGAATAGCATGAACTCCAAAAGGAGTGTAAGCGTCTCCTACTACGTATGCGTAACCCACCATGCGAGTCCACTTTATGTCAGATGTGTTATAATTGTATAAGCTTTAAATAGAAAATAATACATGACCTTTTCCATATCGGCCCAGGTATCTTCCTGAGACCCCCATATGAGTCCAAGACTTAGTCGAGTGCTTATATGGGTCGAGGAATGATACCCGGGCCGATATGGAAAAGGACATGTATTAATCTATTTATTATATATTTCCGACAAATTGTTCTTATATGAGACAAATACCATTTTAATCTTTTTTGGAGCCAAGTACACATAAAATTTATATTTCGAGACGATGTATGTTTATTCTTTTTAAACTGCAACCCTTAAAACTGTTCCAAATGAAATATTTACGTCATAAATAAATAATTCTTATATGATTTGCATATCTATAAACACTTGAATTGGATTGGGTCAATTAGAAGTTTTTCCTTTGGTTTACACTTCGATAAACCATGTTTCCGAAACTACTTTCGTAACCTTCACTTTGATCTATTCATGCGCGATACACATGCATGCAGGGATCCCGGGATTTTCAGCATATTGAGATTGAAAAACAAATACATATCAGTTGTCTCTATTCTAATGCATATATAACAAAAAAAGAAATAATGCATTAAAGCTTTGAAAATGTATAAAATTAAAAAAAAAAGAAAAAAAAAATCCGCGAAATTTCACGAATGATTGAGCGAATTTACGTCATGGCAAAACACGACGTCATACGAATGAAAACTTTCATGCGAAAGATTATTTCGTTACTTGTACGCTTCACATTCGAATAATATGTCATTAAAAGGAAGTTTTTGAGGTAGGTGTTATTTCATTTTAGATTCTGTTGCATTTATCGAACATTTATGGATTTTAGAAAGTCAATATGGTGGCTAACTCCTTAGTTACGACATGTCATTTGTGCATTTGATAGTAAATATAGTAGCCATTGCATTAAATTAAATCTCGAATATTTGGCTTAAGAATTATAAGGATTAAACACATCTCTTACTCACAATCTAAACATAAAAGTCCTTCGGACTTTTATTCAGTTTGTGAGTTAATCGCCCCGGTTTACACATCAATAACTTCTAGAAAAAATGTGTTTAATCCTATAATAAAACTCTACGATAACGCCCTGTCAACGTCATAAACAAGGCGCTATATATATATATATACGGTCAGTGACTGTATATATCACATGTGAATATACGGGCAATGCGATTTGACTGGACAAATAGCACAGTTGCAACATTTATAAACCGATCACCCTCTGTCATATCTTTGCAGGTATTATTTGTCCGGAAATACCGGAAGTAACTTGCGCGAGAGGCACTGTAACAGGCTTTTTGCAAGAGAGGCTCCTGATATGGGTTATCAGCCTGTGTGTTAATTTATGACTAGTTCACTTCTGATCGTTACACATATGCAAAAACTATCATAATAATGTATATGTCGACAAGAATCGTTAACAGGCACATAACAGTACGTTGATGTGTTATTTTGATCAGTGATATTGGTCTTGTTTACAAAGGTACTTTGATATTGGTCTTGTTTACACAGGTACTTTGATTTTGGTCTTGTTTACACAGGTACTTTGGTGTTGGTCTTGTTAACACAGGTACTTTGATATTGGTCTTGTTTACACAGGTACTTTGATATTGGTCTTGTTTACTCAGATACTTTGATATTGGTCTTGTTTACACAGGTACTTTGATATTGGTACTTGACAGTTACTACTTACTAAATGCTTCATTCTGTTTACAACTTTACACATACCATTGCTGTAAGATTCCGCAAGTAACAAATAAACAGTTTTAGTTTGTTTTTTTTTTTTTTGTATTTTGGAGTATTTTGATTTGCGGGAGGAGGGGAGGTCTTAATGTGCATGGTAAACGCAAAAACCGTAATCAACGTATTAAACATCGAATAAATTATGCACTTACTGATCTGTCATCTATATTAAAAAATAATGGTAGACATCAAGTATTATGTAAACTGGGTCATATACCAATAAGTAAATTATATGATATTTTTCAGGAGTGTGATAAAATTTCATAGTTAAGCTCCTTGTATGAATACACCCGTATTATTTCAGTCTTTTGTCATCACAGGCTGTTTCCTAGTATCGATAAACCTGAAAATCATAAAGAGCATTTTCTTAAATTAAAATATATAAATAGAGGTATTGATTTTATTAACGTATCTAGTATATTCAATGACTCTACCATACCGTGACATAGTCATATACTTCATATTTTGATAATTCAGAACCACCTAATATTTCGTATTCTTATAAAAAAAACAGCAGAAGTTTGATTTTTAATTATACGTCAGTTACAGCAGACGTCAATATAGAAAAAAATTGCTCCTTCCACTTGAGACTGTGAAACATCTAGTCTAAGATATGTTCCCTATGGTCATGTCATTACAGGAGACCTCAACATCGTCGAAGACCGTGAGGTCAAAACTTTTCTTAAGAAAGGACCTAAATATCGTCCTCCATCTGTAATAGATTGGAAACAGTGTCGTCAGGTCATTAAAGACACTTACTTTGCTTACTGTAAAAATTGGTGTAAACGTGAAAAATCTGATAAAAAAACTGTAGACAGTTATTTGAATAATATTATGAATACTGTTGATATTCGTATATCTCATTTTAAAAACAATTCTGAAATTAATAAAAGGGTCCATGATATACCCATTTTTAGAATAAAAAATAATCTCCAAATACTAGCAAAGCGGTTTGTGTTCGTACCGGCAGACAAAGCAACCAATAATGTAGTGGTGGTGTGACGCATATACTACACGGAAGTTCTCCAAAACGAAATTATTAATTCGTCTACATTCAGGTCCGTACGCTCCACAGAGAGTCAAATTGTAAACAAACATATCTCTGCCACTACCCAGCTTAAAGCCTCTTCCGAACATTTGAAAGTCCCGACTATGTACTGGTTACCTAAATTACACAAACAACCATTCAAATTCCGTTTCATCTCCGCATCTAGTAAGTTTTCTTCTACTAATCTGTCAGTGTTTCTAACTACCTCCCTTACTACTATCAAAGAACTTGTTATAAACTTTTGTAATAAAGCTTATGAAAATAATGGTATTAATTATTTTTGGAGTGTTAAAAATTCATTAGAGGTTTTAGATAAAATACGTGTTTTTAATGATCCTTTTAATTCTGTTGACAGTTATGGTTTTTCTACTCTCTACACTACACTTCCACACAATCTTATCAAGAAAAAGTTTTTGTATTTAATTAAATGGTCTTTTGAAAAATCGAAATGCAAATTTATTTGCTGTAACTCGTTTAAAGCCTTTTTCTGTAACGAAAAAGGATAGTATGCTAGATACACTTACTGGAAATGTGAAGATATGATTGAGGCTTTAAATTTTCTCCTGGACAACATATATGTACGGTTCGGCGATAAAATGTATCGACAGGTAGTAGGTATTCCTATGGGCACTAACTGTGCCCCTTTAATAGCAGATTTATTCCTGTATTACTATGAATCTCAGTTTATGACCAAACTCAGTAAAGACACGTCATTGTTACATTTGGTTGATACATTCAACAATACCTACCGTTATCTTGATGATATTATTTTGTTAAATAATCCAGAGTTCTCTAAATATACTACCGAAATTTACCCAAAGGAACGTACTTTTATTAAATAAATCTAACATAAACAGCAGTGGTTGTCCTTTTCTAGATTAAGACATTTCAATTTTTAAAGGGAAACTCCATACTAAGATTTACGTCAAAATAGACGATTTTTCATTCCCTATTGTTAATTTTCCCTTTTTAGAAGGCGATGTTCCTTTGGCTCCATCATACGGTGTTTATATATCCCAACTCGTACGTTATACCCGTGTGTGTAGTGATATCATAGATTTTAACGAACGTAATCAATGCATCACTGGTAAATAATTAAGTCAGGGATTTCGTTACCATAAATTGCTTAAAACTTTTAATAAATTCTTTCATAGATACAAAGATTTGATTAGTAAATGTTGCTGTACCTGTAGAAAACTTATTAAAAACGGTATTTCACATCCTAAATTTTACGGTAATATTGTACTAAAAGCGCGGAAGTCACTATGTGATCCGTGTAAACTCATCGAACCTTTAAACAAACGTATAAGTAAAGGTTATCTTACCAATGTTGTAATTAGATCTTTGAATATAGTTTATATTGGCACAAATATCGATTTTTTGTTATCAGCAGATTAAAACATAACTTAATTTGCATTCTTTTCAAACGGTGTTTTTGGGATGTATAAATACACATCCACGTTCATTTTCTATATAGAGATTACTCTATCTATGTATTACATTATACACATGTATTAACAGGTTAACTCCTAACTATCCTACTGCCTGTCGATACTTTTATTTTGGCATTGCACAAATCATGTCTTCTTTGACTGTCCGTGACGTTAAAACACTGAATCCCTGGGATGTGTTTTAGCTGCTTTTAGTCTCTGATGCATGATTTTTTTATTATTAATTGTTTTTAGCTTTTTTAAAACTAGCTTTCAGTAACTGCGAGTACTCTCAAATCGTACTTTCGAGTTAATTTGTCCTTTTGATACAATTTGTAATGTATTTTTGTTATTTAATGTTTACTTATTCAGTGTTATATCTAGTCTCACTATTTTTGATATATACCACCTTTGATAAGTGTTTAGTATGACGATAAATTTTCACTTTTGTTCTCGTACTAGGAACAACAAAATTATTTATTTTATGAAAATTATTTCCGTACTCTATGTATACCACACAACAAAATTATTTTAATTTACCTGTGTACGTAATTTTATTTGGCGGCATTTTGTCCATGGTTATGGTTGTCTTTCTGATATTGTTAAACATCTGACCCCCTTGTTTTATTAATTTTGTGTTTACATTGTGTCATAGATCAAATTTATTCGTTCGGTGTATGTTCACTTGTTTTTGTTAATATGTCTTTTGATTGAGTTAAGCCATTTCAATAGATATTTTATAGTGTGTCTTTCTATTTTGTGATTTTACACTATTGTTTCAGGTAGGGTGAAGGTTGGCGCCTTTTAAAACGTTTAACCCCGCTGCATTTGTTTGAACCTGTCCTAAGTCAGGAACCTGATGTTCAGTGGTTGTCGTTTGTTGATGTGGCTCATAATTGTTTTTCGTTTCTCGTTCTTTATATAGATTAGACCGTTGGTTTTCCTTTTTGAATGGTTTTACACTAGTCATTTTAGGGCCTTTTATAACTTGCTGTTCGATGTGAGCCAAGGCTCCGTGTTGAAGGCCGTACTTTGACCTATAATGGTTTACTTTTACAAATTGTAACTTGGATGGAGAGTTGTCTCATTGGCACTCATATCACATCTTCTTATATCTATGTACACATGACCTTGAACATGTCGAACGCATTTTATTTTTCATTAGATCTGAAAATTGGTTAAACAAATTACCAGGAAGTAAAAAATCAGCCTTTGTTATTGTTGTTCAACATGTTCAATAGATTTAATCTTTTTATTCACGTATACCACAAGGTCTGCATTTAATCTCATATTACCTTGACGTTTATAAATTGTAAACACAATGAATGTTGTTTTGTTGTAACATGTGAAAATTTAAGTTGTACATAAAGTTTGATTTAAAGGTGTACATTTCCTTTTTTACCTATTTCGTGTGCAGATTCATCAAAGTTTGAAAATTTTACTTCACTTTCAACCATTATATAGATATTGTTTAAATTTCTTTTTTTAAACTTTTAATTGAAATGATGTAATAGAAAAACTGGTATGCATGCCCTGATGAAACGGATAATCTACCATGACGAGCTGATGATATAATAAATGACCTGCACTTGTTGGATTATGACTGTCTGGGTCATCCAAAGGATTTAAGAAGCGAATCACGTCGTTTATTCTTGTGTATCATTTTGAGCAATACTTATAAGTCTGTTAAATAAAAAAAAGGTATCACGCAATTTGGATATTATACATCGAATTGGTTCAGATGCATGCTTGGTGCAACTTTCACAGACGTTAGTCATATAATTACCTGGTCAAAAATGTTCAGTGTAAGTGTTATGGGTCGGCTTTACATCATCTTCTGCGTGAAAAAAATCATTATGCAAAGATAAATTTTGTATAGTATTTCCGATATTGACATATAGTGACACTTTTGACAAAATAAAGCATGTTTTCTTTATTCCCGAAATCCACTCATTCAAGCCAATTTTGCCAAATTTCAACAAAATGCACACTTTGCGTTCTGTTTTCACACATTAATAAAAATGATCAGTTTTCGGCATGATAACAGTCGAAAGCAGAAGGGCCAATTTCCCATTAATTTTTTTCACACCAGGGTCATTTTCGAAATGTCTTAATTAAACTTATAGTATTCCAATGTGTGTACCCTATAAGGTTCAAACAATATTATGGCTTATTTCTAAATAGATCACCAAATTATAAACGCCTGAGGTAGCCAAACTGCAATAGAAGAGATGTTGGCAAATTTTGAGTATCGATTCCTAAAATATATTAGAAGGAGATCGATAACCAACGCCAGTACTCTGCTTTGCATTTTCTTTCGGATTGAAATAAAATCATTTTCGGTAGCACAGTCCTAAATGCAAAATTTGACGAAAAAATCATTTGCAATTTTATATTATAATGAATTCACCGGGAGCATGTTGTGCTGAATAGCATTTTGATTTAACATTAATATGTATTATTGTAAAACAATATATTAAATTTATGATAAAGACTGTTTTATCAGTATTCATATTTCCAGATTTGACCATGTGAGCGAAATCATTACAGGGGGAAATTAGCTATGCACCTTTAATTCCATATGTTTATAAGACGACGTATTGAAGAAGAAAAAGAAGAAGAACCGAAAAAAAAACAGGAAGTGTCCTTTTGTTTTGAAATGTTTACAGAAATAAGACAAAGTAGCATTAAGTGTAGACTTTGATCGTGCATTATTTGATATGCCTGTTTTTCTTTTTCTTTTTGTAGGAGTCGAAATGCCTTTACGTTATATGTGTGATGGGACTGTGTTATGTGACGGAAGCAGTCCCAATATCAGTCACATCCTTGTTTCCTATCTTCCTGTTTCCAATGCTAGGAATAGCAACAGCAAAACACGTGTCTTCAAAATATGTAAATGTGAGTATTGTTGAATAGCAACAGCAAAAAAACGTATCTTCAAAATGTGTAAATGTGAGTATCGTTGACAACATTTACATTTATTTAAGAAATAATTCATGGAGGCCATAGATTTGTTTGAGATGTACACATGGCCTGGAACGTGATATTAAAATGTTATCCTGAGCGTTAGTGAAATAATAACGACCAATGAAATAGTCTTTTGAAAGAGTTAAATAGTTTCTCCATTAAGTATTTATGAGGAAACAGAAACAACATCCTTAGAAAAACAGTAAAGAAATTTATCAGTTAACACGAACGGTAAATTTTGGTCTATGTAGTACTATAATCTTTATGTATAATGATATTAATTGCAAGGGTATTTATGACACTAAGAAATTAAAAAAAACAATATGCTCTGCTTCAAGGTATTTTTTTTCAAAGTCAAGATCAAAACAAATGAGCAAATTTGTGGAAGATGAATCTTAATATGTAATTAATGATTACAGATTTCACAATCATAGCAAGCTTGTGCAAAGTGAGTGATCTAATGGATTGGATACATTCGACGTGCAGAAATTGAAAAACATTGAATGATATTCAGATTAAACAAAGAATATGAGCGCAACATTATTCTTACAATTACAATTTACAGGATACATCAATGCTGTTTTTCGGAGGTCTGATAGTGGCTGTTGCTATTGAAGAAACAGGACTACACAAACGTATAGCTTTAGGAATTATGAAGGTGGTAGGAGTTTCACCAAATATGTGAGTCAATGTATAGTCAGTGGTTAATCATTTGCCTGTTAATCGTGAATAAAGTCTTCCTGCCCCCCTTTGGGGGGGGGTCTTGAATCCATCGGTCTAATTTGGTATAATGTATTTAATTTTATATTAAAACATCATACGATTTAGTTTTCCTACAATTACTGTAATTTTATTCCTGTTTCATTTAATGTCGCATATTTTCAACTTTTGTATCATATACATTGTGTATGTTCCAGTTAATAGAGCTTTCTTTTATATTTTTTTCAGAATTTTGATTTCTATTTAATGATATAATTATATTTCATATTAATACTGTGTGTGACCCATGTCTTTGGAAATGATTGTACTCGAGCAGCATTGAATAGAAACATTACATGTACCATCAATTCAAGGCCGCTTAAAGCAGCAATAAAAACAGCCATTTAGAACATGATACTAAGGTATCCTCAAGCTGAAGACTAAATCAGTATTGAATATCAGTATTGTTGCTTTTTAAAGTTGCTCCTAGACTTGATGGTACTATTATGTTGTTGGTTTTTTGATGTTTTGTTTTTGTTCTAGGTTGCTCATCGGATTTAAAGTACCTTTGATTGTTCTTTTAGAAATAAACCCCGAATCGATAACCCTTTCATGTTTCTATTGAATAGTTGCTTATTAGATTACTTGTACTGATATTGCTTCGGTTTTATGTTGTTTTTTCAATGGATGGTACTATTATTGTTTGGTTTCTGATTTAAGGTACCTAATATTACTATCCAAAGCTGCTGCCCAGACTGGTGGTGCCTTTAGAAGTTTTATTCAAAGTTGCTGTGATACTTCTGTTCGGTTACTCCTCGAATTGATGGTACCAACATGTTTTATTTCTAGGTTGCCCCTCGGATTGATGGTACCAATATGTTTTATTTCTAGGTTGCCCCTCGGATTGATGGTACCAACAAGTTTTATTTCTAGGTTGCCCCTCGGATTGATGGTACCAACATGTTTTATTTCTAGGTTGCCCCTCGGATTGATGGTACCAACAAGTTTTATTTCTAGGTTGCCCCTCGGATTGATGGTACCAACATGTTTTATTTCTAGGTTGCCCCTCGGATTGATGGTACCAACAAGTTTTATTTCTAGGTTGCCCCTCGGATTGATGGTACCAACATGTTTTATTTCTAGGTTGCCCCTCGGATTGATGGTACCAGTTATGTTATATTTCTAGGTTGCCCCTCGGATTGATGGTACCAATATGTTTTATTTCTAGGTTGCCCCTCGGATTGATGGTACCAACAAGTTTTATTTCTAGGTTGCCCCTCGGATTGATGGTACCAACATGTTTTATTTCTAGGTTGCCCCTCGGATTGATGGTACCAACAAGTTTTATTTCTAGGTTGCCCCTCGGATTGATGGTACCAACAAGTTTTATTTCTAGGTTGCCCCTCGGATTGATGGTACCAACATGTTTTATTTCTAGGTTGCCCCTCGGATTGATGGTACCAACATGTTTTATTTCTAGGTTGCCCCTCGGATTGATGGTACCAACATGTTGTATTTCTAGGTTGCCCCTCGGATTGATGGTACCAACATGTTTTATTTCTAGGTTGCCCCTCGGATTGATGGTACCAGTTATGTTATATTTCTAGGTTGCCCCTCGGATTGATGGTACCAACATGTTTTATTTCTAGGTTGCCCCTCGGATTGATGGTACCAACATGTTGTATTTCTATGTTGCCCCTCGGATTGATGGTACCAGTTATGTTTCTATTCTATGTTGCCCCTAGGATTGATGGTACCAGTTATGTTTCTATTCTAGGTTGCCCCTAGGATTGATGGTACCAGTTATGTTTCTATTCTAGGTTGCCCCTCGGATTGATGGTACCAGTTATGTTTCTATTCTAGGTTGCCCCTCGGATTGATGGTACCAGTTATGTTTCTATTCTAGGTTGCCCCTAGGATTGATGGTACCAATTATGTTTCTATTCTAGGTTGCCCCTAGGATTGATGGTACCAGTTATGTTTCTATTCTAGGTTGCCCCTCGGATTGATGGAACCAACATGTTGTATTTCTAGGTTGCCCCTCAGATTGATGGTACCAACATGTTTTATTTCTAGGTTGCCCCTCGGATTGATGGTACCAGTTATGTTATATTTCTAGGTTGCCCCTCGGATTGATGGTACCAACATGTTTTATTTCTAGGTTGCCCCTCGGATTGATGGTACCAACAAGTTTTATTTCTAGGTTGCCCCTCGGATTGATGGTACCAACAAGTTTTATTTCTAGGTTGCCCCTCGGATTGATGGTACCAACATGTTTTATTTCTAGGTTGCCCCTCGGATTGATGGTACCAATATGTTTTATTTCTAGGTTGCCCCTCGGATTGATGGTACCAATATGTTTTATTTCTAGGTTGCCCCTCGGATTGATGGTACCAACAAGTTTTATTTCTAGGTTGCCCCTCGGATTGATGGTACCAACATGTTTTATTTCTAGGTTGCCCCTCGGATTGATGGTACCAACAAGTTTTATTTCTAGGTTGCCCCTCGGATTGATGGTACCAACAAGTTTTATTTCTAGGTTGCCCCTCAGATTGATGGTACCAACATGTTTTATTTCTAGGTTGCCCCTCGGATTGATGGTACCAACATGTTTTATTTCTAGGTTGCCCCTCGGATTGATGGTACCAACATGTTGTATTTCTAGGTTGCCCCTCGGATTGATGGTACCAACATGTTTTATTTCTAGGTTGCCCCTCGGATTGATGGTACCAGTTATGTTATATTTCTAGGTTGCCCCTCGGATTGATGGTACCAACATGTTTTATTTCTAGGTTGCCCCTCGGATTGATGGTACCAACATGTTGTATTTCTATGTTGCCCCTCGGATTGATGGTACCAGTTATGTTTCTATTCTATGTTGCCCCTAGGATTGATGGTACCAGTTATGTTTCTATTCTAGGTTGCCCCTAGGATTGATGGTACCAGTTATGTTTCTATTCTAGGTTGCCCCTCGGATTGATGGTACCAGTTATGTTTCTATTCTAGGTTGCCCCTCGGATTGATGGTACCAGTTATGTTTCTATTCTAGGTTGCCCCTAGGATTGATGGTACCAATTATGTTTCTATTCTAGGTTGCCCCTAGGATTGATGGTACCAGTTATGTTTCTATTCTAGGTTGCCCCTCGGATTGATGGAACCAACATGTTGTATTTCTAGGTTGCCCCTCAGATTGATGGTACCAACATGTTTTATTTCTAGGTTGCCCCTCGGATTGATGGTACCAGTTATGTTATATTTCTAGGTTGCCCCTCGGATTGATGGTACCAACATGTTTTATTTCTAGGTTGCCCCTCGGATTGATGGTACCAACATGTTGTATTTCTATGTTGCCCCTCGGATTGATGGTACCAGTTATGTTTCTATTCTAGGTTGCCCCTCGGATTGATGGTACCAGTTATGTTTCTATTCTAGGTTGCCCCTCGGATTGATGGTACCAACATGTTGTACTTCTATGTTGCCCCTTGGATTGATGGTACCAGTTATGTTTCTATTCTAGGTTGCCCCTCGGATTGGTGGTACCAGTTATGTTTCTATTCTAGGTTGCCCCTCGGATTGATGGTACCAGTTATGTTTCTATTCTAGGTTGCCCCTCGGATTGATGGTACCAGTTATGTTTCTATTCTAGGTTGCCCCTCGGATTGATGGTACCAACATGTTGTATTTCTATGTTGCCCCTTGGATTGATGGTACCAGTTATGTTTCTATTCTAGGTTGCCCCTCGGATTGATGGTACCAGTTATGTTTCTATTCTAGGTTGCCCCTAGGATTGATGGTACCAGTTATGTTTCTATTCTAGGTTGCCCATTGGATTGATGGTACCAGTTATGTTTCTATTCTAGGTTGCCCCTAGGATTGATGGTACCAGTTATGTTTCTATTCTAGGTTGCCCCTCGGATTGATGGTACCAGTTATGTTTCTATTCTAGGTTGCCCCACGGATTGGTGGTACCAGTTATGTTTCTATTCTAGGTTGCCCCTCGGATTGGTGGTACCAGTTATGTTTCTATTCTAGGTTGCCCCTCGGATTGATGGTACCAGTTATGTTTCTATTCTAGGTTGCCCCTCGGATTGATGGTACCAACATGTTGTATTTCTATGTTGCCCCTTGGATTGATGGTACCAGTTATGTTTCTATTCTAGGTTGCCCCTCGGATTGGTGGTACCAGTTATGTTTCTATTCTAGGTTGCCCCTCGGATTGATGGTACCAGTTATGTTTCTATTCTAGGTTGCCCCTCGGATTGATGGTACCAGTTATGTTTCTATTCTAGGTTGCCCCTCGGATTGATGGTACCAACATGTTGTATTTCTATGTTGCCCCTAGGATTGATGGTACCAGTTATGTTTCTATTTTAGGTTGCCCCTTGGATTGATGGTACCAGTTATGTTTCTATTCTAGGTTGCCCCTAGGATTGATGGTACCAGTTATGTTTCTATTCTAGGTTGCCCATTGGATTGATGGTACCAGTTATGTTTCTATTCTAGGTTGCCCCTAGGATTGATGGTACCAGTTATGTTTCTATTCTAGGTTGCCCCTCGGATTGATGGTACCAGTTATGTTTCTATTCTATGTTGCCCCTCGGATTGATGGTACCAACATGTTTTATTTCTAGGTTGCCCCTCGGATTGATGGTACCAGTTATGTTTCTATTCTAGGTTGCCCCTCGGATTGATGGTACCAGTTATGTTTCTATTCTAGGTTGCCCCTCGGATTGATGGTACCAACATGTTTTATTTCTAGGTTGCCCCTCGGATTGATGGTACCAACATGTTTTATTTCTAGGTTGCCCCTCGGATTGATGGTACCAACATGTTTTATTTCTAGGTTGCCCCTCGGATTGATGGTACCAACATGTTTTATTTCTAGGTTGCCCCTCGGATTGATGGTACCAACATGTTTTATTTCTAGGTTGCCCCTCGGATTGATGGTACCAACATGTTGTATTTCTAGTTTGCCCCTCGGATTGATGGTACCAACATGTTTTATTTCTAGGTTGCCCCTCGGATTGATGGTACCAGTTATGTTTTATTTCTAGGTTGCCCCTCGGATTGATGGTACCAACATGTTGTATTTCTAGGTTGCCCCTCGGATTGATGGTACCAACATGTTGTATTTCTATGTTGCCCCTCGGATTGATGGTACCAGTTATGTTTCTATTCTAGGTTGCCCCTCGGATTGATGGTACCAGTTATGTTTCTATTCTATGTTGCCCCTCGGATTGATGGTACCAGTTATGTTTCTATTCTAGGTTGCCCCTCGGATTGATGGTACCAGTTATGTTTCTATTCTAGGTTGCCCCTAGGATTGATGGTACCAGTTATGTTTCTATTCTAGGTTGCCCCTCGGATTGATGGTACCAGTTATGTTTCTATTCTAGGTTGCCCCTCAGATTGATGGTACCAGTTATGTTTCTATTCTAGGTTGCCCCTCGGATTGATGGTACCAACATGTTGTATTTCTATGTTGCCCCTTGGATTGATGGTACCAGTTATGTTTCTATTCTAGGTTGCCCCTAGGATTGATGGTACCAGTTATGTTTCTATTCTAGATTGCCCCTCGGATTGATGGTACCAGTTATGTTTCTATTCTATGTTGCCCCTCGGATTGATGGTACCAGTTATGTTTCTATTCTAGGTTGATCCACGGATTGGTGGTACCAGTTATGTTTCTATTCTAGGTTGCCCCTAGGATTGATGGTACCAGTTATGTTTCTATTCTAGGTTGCCCCTCGGATTGGTGGTACCAGTTATGTTTCTATTCTAGGTTGCCCCTCGGATTGATGGTACCAGTTATGTTTCTATTCTAGGTTGCCCCTCGGATTGATGGTACCAACATGTTGTATTTCTATGTTGCCCCTTGGATTGATGGTACCAGTTATGTTTCTATTCTAGGTTGCCCCTCGGATTGATGGTACCAGTTATGTTTCTATTCTAGGTTGCCCCTCGGATTGATGGTACCAGTTATGTTTCTATTCTAGGTTGCCCCTCGGATTGATGGTACCAGTTATGTTTCTATTCTATGTTGCCCCTTGGATTGATGATGCCAATAATATTCTGTATAATAGGTTACTTCTCGCTCGGATTGATGGTATCATTTTTGTTTCTGTTCCAGGAACGTTGCTCTTGTGATTGCTGATAAAATTAATATTTCTGTTCTAGATTGCTCCCCGAATTGATGGTACCGGTAATCTTTCTGTTCAAGTTGCTCCTTAGATTGGGGTAACAGCTAGTAATGTTTCCGTTCTAGGTTGTCCCTTGAATAAGTGGTACAAAGAATGTTTCTTTTCTAGCTTGCTCCTGGAATTGATGGTAACAATAATGTTTCTGTTCTGGGTTGCTCCTTGGATATATCGTACCAGTAATGTATCTTTTCTATGTTGTACCTGGGGTTGATGGTAACAGTAATGTTTCTATTCTATGTCGCTCCTCGGATGGATGGTACATGTACTAGTAATGTTTCTATTCTAGGTTGCTCATCTGAATAATTGCACCAGTAATATTTCTGTTCCTGGTTGCTCATCTGAATAATGGCACCAGTAATATTTCTGTTCCAGGTTGCTCATCTGAATAATGACACCAGTAATATTTCTGTTCCTGGTTGCTCATCTGATTGATGGTAACAGTAATAATTCTATTCTATGTCGCTCTTCGGATAGATGGTACCAGTAATGTTTTTTTTTCTAGGTTGCTCATCTTAATAGTAGCACCAGTAATATTTCTGTTCCAGGTTGCTCATCTGAGTGATGTTACTGATAATATTTCTATTCTAAGTTGCTCTTGTGATTGATGGTACTAGTTATATGTTCTATTATATGTTGTTCCTTAATTTGAGGTTCCAGAAATATTTCAATTCTAGCTATAGGTTGGCTTTTCAGATTTATGATACAATGTACCAGTTATGTGTCTCTTCTAGATTGCTCCTTGGATTGATGGTACCAGTAATATTTCTATTGTAGGTTGCTTCTTGGATTAATGGTACCTACATGGTTTCTGTCTATGTGGATCAGTAATACAGCGACAACATCTATGATGTTACCCATTATCACAGCTGTTGTTGATCAAATGAAAATAGCTGAATCAGGTTGGATTATTTTTCATAAATTTTAAGTTTGAGAAATACAGAATGTTGTTCCATAGCAGAAAAAAATATATATTAGTAGTCTTGGCCATCAATTAGTTACTGCCATTCATTTCTAATTTTTCAGTTACCATGTATGTAATGGTTGAAAATGCTAAAAAAAAAAACGTTAATTTCATATTCTCACATTTCCAATCGTAATGTTTCACAATGTCTCCTTTTTGTACATAATGCACACTTTTAAATTAATCGAATATAAAACATCACAAATGAAATACTGCTTACAGTCAGTTGTGACAGTTTCGCCTGAAAACAATTGGCTAGTTGTGATGGTGACGGTCTTCCAAACTTTAAACTATGTTTACTGTATTTTGGTAGAAGTATCGGAAGAAACACTTATGTTGTCAAATAGATATGAAAATCATCAAAACTTGGAAAATAACTGCGATGATCGGTTTTGTAGTGGTAAGTTTAAAAGTCATACCGTATATCGGATTTTTTTGTGTTTTAAATTTTTGATTAATGTATTTTTGATTTTGCGGATTCAAAATTATCTAAATATCTCAAAAAATCAATGCAAAAAAGGATCATTTAAATATATTGTACTTACAGTCATGAAAATATTTTTCAACTTCAACTTGTCCTTTACTAGGAATAATCGCGAACAAAAACTGACGCAAAACTAATCCGATATACGGTAAAACATTGTAAGTAAGCCGTAACTCGGTGTTGGATTTTAGTGGAATCCCGCATGAAATTCCATATATATTCACGTGCATGATGAGGGTTTGGAAGCATGATAACGATTGGCAGTGCATGTTCGTGTATCCCTGTTTAAAATACAATGTCTTATTTTATCAGATGATGACTCAAACAATGTCTCAGATAAGAAAGATAATTCGAACGGACCAATCAGTGAAAAGGATATCAAAATTGAAATTAGTGATACACAGAGGTAATTATTATCATTATATTTATTTAAATTAATATATGCCTTGCATTTTCCCCAATCTGATTTAAATACAGATTCTGCCTCCAATCTGCGCAAAGAAACAAGGACCTAACAACACTGTGATCACCTTGCCGTATTGGAGACCTTTCCAGGATGGGTTTTGTCATAACACATCTCATAACATTTTCCCCAATCTGATTTAAATACAGATTCTGCCTCCAATCTGCGCAAAGAAACAAGGACCTAACAACACTGTGACCACCTTGCCGTATTGGAGACCTTTCCAGGATGGGTTTTGTCATAACACATCTCATAACATTTTCCCCAATCTGATTTAAATACAGATTCTGCCTCCAATCTGCGCAATGAAACAAGGACCTAACAACACTGTGACCACCTTGCCGTATTGGAGACCTTTCAAGGATGGGTTTTGTCATAACACATCTCATAACATTTGAAGGCAGAAATTTCCTATGTTGGTGCATGATAATTATCTGACAGGAAAGATGAATTAGCTTCAAGGGGAGGAGCGTGGACTCAGGATCTGTATTCTAACCAGATTGTCAATTTTACCAAATCAAAGCAAATAAAAAAATTAATAAAACGGTACCCACTCCTTAAATGAAGTATACATTTTGGCTGTTTAAGCGGAACATTTTTATTTATTTAAAAAAAAAGGGGGGGGGGGTAATTTATTGCAGTACAAGCAGCCCACTCAGTCATTATCAATGACAAAGATTGCAACTAACATGTACCTTTATCTTTTCCTTAATTCATAAAATGGGTGTTCTGAATAAGATGTCATGAGTACAATGTATACTGTAATTTTAGAGAAAATGCCTTGGCAAATGGACGAACAAGGTTCCAGTATTAGTATTTATAAGTCACGAGGTACTGGTTTGGTTTCTTCATTTCCATCGATTAAGTTATAGTTCAGTTACTTTGTTCGTTTGGCTTTAGAAGTTTCCAATCAAACTTGAAAGATACCAGCCATTTAGTGCAGTTACTTTGTTCATTAAGCTTTAGAAATTTTCAATCAAACTTGTAATATATCAGACCTTTAACTCAGTTATTTTGTTCGTTTAGCTTTAGAAACTTTCAATCAAACTTGTAAGCTATGAGACCTTTAGTTCAGTTCCTCTGTTCGCGTACACGTGTTCGGTTACTTTATTTGTAAACGTGTTCAATCAAACCAGATCGATATCAGACATTTAGTTCAGTTACTTTATTTGTGTAGACGTGTTCAATCGAACTAGTAGGACATGAGACATATAGTTCAGCTACTTTATTTGTGTAGACGTGTTCAATCAAACCAGACAGATATCAGACATTTAGTTCAGTTACTTAATTCGTGTAGACGTGTTCAATCGAACTAGTAAGATGTCAGACATTTAGTTCAGTTACTTTATTTGTGTAGACGAATTGAATCAAACCAGACAGATATCAGACATTTAGTTCAGTTATTTTATTTGTGTGGAGTTGTTCAATCAAAAAAATAAGATGTCAGACATTTAGTTCAGTTACTTAATTTGCGTTAACATGTTCAATTGAACTAGTAAGATATGAGACATTGAGTTAAGTTACTTTATTTGTGTAGACGTGTTCAATCAAACCAGACAGATATCAGACATTTAGTTCAGTTACTTTATTTGTGTAGACATGTTTTATCAAACCAGTAATATACTAGACATTTGGTTCAGTTACATTGTTCGTGTAGACGTATTCAATCAAACCAGTAAGATATCTGACATTTAGTTCAGTTACTTTATTCGTGTAGACATGTTCAATCAAACCAGTAAGATATCTGACATTTAGTTCAGTTACATTGTGCGTGTAGACATGTTCAATCAAACCAGTAAGATATTTGACGTTTAGTTCAGTTGCTTTGTTCGTGTAGACATGTTCAGTCGAACTAGTAAGATATTAGAGATTTTGTTCAGTTTCTATATTAGTGTAGACAGTCATGTTCAATCGAACAAGTACAACAGATGAGAAGTAAGACATTTGGTTCAGTTACTGTAAATTCAGAAATTATTGCGAGGCTTTTCTTAGTGCGAATAATGAGAATGAATGAAGTTCGCAATAAGAACTCGCATTCTGAAATCTTATACTGTATGCAAATTTTCCTGAAATCGCAATAATTAATTTTGCATTTTAATCCATTCTTCAAAATTCGCAATAATAAATGCACGCACTAATTTCTGAATACACGTATTCAATCGAACCAGTAAACTATAGATGTTTTTTTTTTATAGTGATTAATATCACAATGTTGACTGCTGTACCCCGATGTTTGACTTTTTTATGTTATGTCTGTTCGTTTTGCTCATACACTATTGACAATATAATAGAATTTTAACTGAATGTCATACAAGTGAGAGGTTTAGCTAGCTATAAAACCAGGTTTAATCCAATATTTTCTACACAAGGTAAACCCTGAACCACGTCAGGAATATGACAGTTGTTTTCCATTCGTTTGATGTGTTTGAGCTTTTGATTTTGCCACTTGATAAGGGACTTTCCGTTTTGAATTTTCCTTCGGTATTTTTGTTATTTTACTTTTTATGAGACATTTTTCGCAGTTACGTTATTCATGTATTCGTTTTCTTTATTCATGAACTCTATTTGGCCTTTTAAACCTTTTCTTTAAGAGCGTCAATGACGAATCTTTTGTAGACGAACCGGGCGTCTGGCGTACAAAATTTTTATCCTGGTATCTATGATGAGTTTTTTTTTTCAAATCGACAGTAAGATATAAGACATTTAAGTCAGTAACTTTGTTCGTGTAAACATGTTCAATCAAATCAGTAAGATATGAGACATTTGATCCAGATACTTTGTAGAGGTAAACAAGTAAGATATATGGCATTAATATAAAACAAATGGAGATGTGGTATGATTGCCATTGTGACAACTATCCCATCAAAGTTCAAATGAAGTGGATGTAAGCAATTATAGGCAACCGTACGGCCTTCAACAATGAGAAAACCCCATACCGTGTGGTCGGCTTTAAAAGGCCCCGACATGAAAAATATGAAACAATTCAATTGAGACAACTAACGGCCTAATTTATAACAAAACAATTTACGAAAAACAAAAATGACCGAAATGAACCAACGTCACATTAGTTTTTTTTTGTATCTGTGTTGTTTTTTTTTGTTTTTTTTGTGTTGCTTCTTTTTATTACTTGTTTGTCTGCGTAATGCTTTAGGTATAAAAATAAGAAGATGTGGTATGAAAGTCATTGAGACAACTCTTCACCAGAGTCCAAATGATATAGAAGTTTACAACTATAGGTCACCGTACGGCCTTTAACAATGAACAAAACCCATATCGCATAGTCAGATATAAAAGGCCCCGAACTGACAAATGTAAAACAATTGAAACGTGAAAACTAACGGCCTGAATTGTGTATAAAACAATGGATGAAAAACAAATATGATATACAGCAACAAAAGACAACCACTGAATAACAGGCTCTTGACTTGGGACAGGCACATACAGATAGTGGTGGGGTTAAACTAGTTTTTTGGCGCCAAACCCACCCTCTAACCTGGGATAGTGGTGTAGCAGTACAACATAAGAACACACTATACAATCAGTTAAAAAGAAAAAAATCTAACAAAAACACAGACCTGACGTGGCAGGGTATTTATACATCCCCACAACAAAAAAGACACTAAGAACAGATCTGAGAGTACTGGCAGTTATTGACTGATAGTTCAAAGCCAATAACAACTAATAAAAAGATAAAGCATCTAAAACTAATCAGTACACATCTAACATCCAGCATCCAACATCCATTTATGCATGTACTGTAAAACGATTTAAACCATTTAAAAACATGAAAATATAATGAACGTACATATGTATAGTTTTCGTTTTGTATACGGTTATTTCTTTTACATTATAATAATGAATTTATTCGTAAGCAATACAAGTAAGACTAGATTTGCCATTGCAAGCAATAGCGGATGGCACCCTTCCCAAATTGCCCCTTAACTGCAGCTATTTTAAAAGTTTTTAACAGTCAATGCACGTAAATACATCACAAGTTATCTGGAAGTTTGGAGATTTTTAAATTGTTCACATTTTTGCAGTTACCATGGCAACGGCGGCCATTCGGAAAAGTTCAAGGTAAAAAATGTCATCTTTACTTGCCAGTGAACATTTATTTAAAGTTTCATTAAGTTTCGAACATTTGGAAATTTTTGGAAATTTTTGCTGTTTCCATGGTTACGGTGTCCATGTCGAAAATTCCAACAACAGCTGCAACATTGACTTATGCCATGTTATATATTCATGAAGTTTCTATGTGTTTGGTCTAATATTCCTTAACAAAATGCTGCTTTAATGTTTTTTCCCATAGTGACAATGTTAAACTTTTCTCCAGTTTCCATGGCAATGGCAGCCAGTTTGGAATGTCTAAGTACTGTTGGTACCTCAAGACATCAAAAGCAACATTTGCATAAACTTTCAATAGGTTAGATTTAATAACAAAATTCTAGAGTTTTGATTTTGTTTCACATTTTTGCTGTTCCCATGGTAACGGTGGCCATTGTGAACCATTCCATAGCAAGGTGCACATGTTCACATAGGGGCCCTCACTACAGTAGAGTTCACAACAAGTTACATGCCATGATGTTGTTGTGATTGATTTTTAGGAAAACGACACAACGTAAATCAGAAGAAATAAAGAGGCTCAGTAAAGCATTTGCACTTAGCGTCGCTTATGCCGCTAATACTGGAGGAATTGCAACGCTTGTTGGTACACCACCGAACCTTGTTTTACAGGCAGTTGCAAATGAGTATGTCTATCTATATTTTACATTATTTCAAATCGTAACAAAGGAATATATATATCAACTACATAATATAAGGTTACAAAATCATTCTTTATCGTCCTTTTTAAGGTACATGTAGATGGGAGGACTAAATTTGAATCGATAGAATATTTTAATAACTTGCCAAAATGTAGTTTGTATCATGTTTTGTTCAAAAATATAAAAAAAAAATATGGATCACGGAGCTGTTTTTAAAGCTATAAGTTGGGAATATAGATTGTCAGATTTTGATAAGGAAAACTAAATTTTGTGTGATAAAAAGAAATTAAGAATAGAATTTTCAGATGAAATATGAAAAGATAGCTTTTATAATGTTCTTTCAAAATATAAACAAATCATTTCGGGTCATGGGACTCGTTTTCTCGAACAAAATAAAATGGGTAAATTCAAAACACATTCATTAATAAAATTAGTATAATCCGAGTTATATACCATTATATTGCACAGTTACAATACATTGAATCAAACCAAAAACATTTTGTAATTGTAAAAAACAGTAGAATTTTTGTTTAAAACACATAGTTTTGCTCATTGAGATAAAAAGTCTAACAAACCTCAAAATCTGCACATTTCATGAACGATCTAGACCGCTTGTGTTCTGCTATTTTACAAACCAAGATGGCGGTATACACCCGATCTTCCTTAGGCGAGTTGAAATCTAGATAAATTTTACACGACGTCATTTACTCCATTTCAAAGAAAGATTAAAAAAAAACGTAGTATCAAAAATCAAAAAGCGTTAGTACCAAGACATCTTGTTTGTTGTACCATATTGCTAGTATAAAATTTGCTATCCATCATGCATATAACTCTGTATCCTTGTACGAGTTATTTTCACTTTTGGTCCGATTTTAACAGTTTGTTTTAGGTTTGAGATATTCAGAAGTTTTGATCCCTATCATCATTGAAGAGACACCAATTGTCAAACCATACATATAATTTATTAAAAATGGTACCGTAAATGTTATTATGATTATTTTTGTAGGGAACTTTCTGTTGGTTGTACTCTAATATTTTTTTTCCCTTTTCTATTTGTTAAAGTCTAACTTATCATATGAGTAAAGTATTTATGCAAATTTTTGATTAATTGATACTTGCTTAACGTTCGGTGGTAAATGTTTCTTGCATATTCAGAAAGACAATTATTTCGGCGAATAAATGTAATGCTAATATACATGTAAACTGTGAGAAGAACAAAAACAACAGAATTCTCACATAATAGCAAAACCTAAAAAATCTAGTACACATGTTTATTCTGCTAGTCACTCATTGGAAATGGTCACTGAATCCAGTATCAATATTTCAAATAAATTATCGACCTGTGTATTGATGATACACGTATATAGGAATGTGTATTACTTCGATTCTGGACTTATGCGATGATAAACAGCAATGGAATTAAAACATAACAAACATACATACAACCAAACAAACTTGTGAAAAACCGATTGCGAAAATAATGTTTTACATGCAACGAGGATAGATTTATATACAAATTGATACATGTATTGCCTTTTAATGTCGGTCCCGTATATCATCATGAGACTCCAATACCAGCCCGAGACTCCAGAAAAGGATTTGATATGGTCCAACGGGTGATAGCCGTGTCGATATGTCATAATATGCTATGTAGACGTATGTTATCATAATATCCAAATGATGTAAGAACACACCTAGGATGCTAACGCCATATTAGCCCAATCACGTGACTTCAATCCTAGTATGTACTTTCCAACATCACTTGACAACGGTTGATTTAATACATGCTTTCGACGTTTTTACTATATATACTGACTGGATATATCGTTGCTTTATACATTGTACATGATATCTGCAGATAATTTTTCAGCAAGTACGATGCGGTTAAAAAAGGCACAGATTCAGGAATAACGTTTGCAAACTGGATGGGATTCGCATTTTTATTATCGCTCATTATGCTCATTGTTTCATGGTTTTGGATTCAATTACTTTTCATTCGATGTGGGTGAGTATATTTAGTGGAATGACGTCATGTGCTGCTCTTCCTTAACATGATATTTAACCAAATAAAAAATGTTAACTTGGAAAACTTCCCGTACTTTTACGATCCATGAATTTGATTGGTTTTAATAACAATTTTTGAGGGAAGAAAAAATAAAAAATAAATTTTACTAGCTTTGGTGGTAAGTTCTGTAAATGATTTACTGATATATATAGAATAACAATTGGTGTTCTTGATACTGTTTTTATCAAAAAGAGTATCAAGCGAGACCGCAAAAGCTAATATTCGAGCTGATAAAGTCAGTATCAAAAAATAAAAGTATCAAGTCATGTCCATGATCTTAAAAATATGAGGCAGTAAGATCAAAGGAAAACAAATTGTCGATAAATATGTACATATACTACTTACACGTCCTTGTTTTGTGTTCAATGGCAAAAATAACACTATCGATAAAGAAGACCTAAGAAAAAACTGTACGATAAAATGCCATTGTCAGTTTCGAGGGTATAGTATCAGCAAACAAAAGCAAATAAACTTCTTTATATATACTGTGCCAATAAATGAAAACAACACTTTTTAAATTTCGTGCGTTGGACGAGCTTTTCTGAATTTGTCGTCGACCCGGAACATGTTAATTATTGGTAATATTAATTATATGGGGAATAAAAGGGCTTGGGACGGTGTAATTATTAAACAACACAATTGTCCTCTATTCGTTGTATATAAAGTTGAATTATTTGATTTGTCGTTTTTACGTCATGCCGGCAAACAAATGGACCTCGTTATTTTAGTAATATAGTTTATAATTAATGACTGGGTACGAGTGGAATAGTAAGTTTATTGTCCCCCGAGGTGCGGCTATTGCCCTGAGGTGTAGCTTACTATTCCACAAATATCCAGTCAGTAAGTGTTTAATTATACCGAAAGAGACAACACACATAAAGTTATGCCAAGGACTGAACTAAACAGCTAACCAAAATTCATTTTTTTTCTTTCATTTTTACATTTATAAGAGATAACGGTCACCTAGTGATGACAATTATCCTATTGTAAATATGCATTCTAAGAACAAGCAGGCAATTGTAAGTGTAAAGCTTAATTTTTTTTATTCAAAATCACAGAATAAATTCAACAGCAGCACAACAATTTAAACGAATTCATGTGATCTGTCATAGCTTTTGTTGAAAGTAAAAATTTTCAGAACAATTGTTGATACTGCTGATAGCGAAAAGGAATTGAGAACAGTTGTTTTTATCACCTCGTGTAACTCCTCTTAGTTTTTTTAGATCGCCGTCTTTTTCTTTAATGTAGTCGGAAATGATCTTTTCAACAGTTCGGACGACCGATTTTGTGTATGTGTCCTTAATTAATCCTTCCAGATCTCCATCGCAAATTGGCCTGACTAAGCCATGATCCTGTCGATCGTCTGATGAGACTATGTGTGTTTTCGAACGACTCTGGAATCGACGTTGATAATTGAGATGAATTTCAATAGTCCCGAATGAATAGTTAAAAAACCGTTACAAAATCCCGTAGCAGCAGTCGACATTCCGCGAAATATATAAGAACTGAATATTTATAATTATTCTAAATATCAGCACACAAATGTTAAATCTGAAAAATTGCGGAAGCAAATTTTTGTTTTTCCCTCGCCGGGATTTGAACTCATGCTATTGGGATATTGTGACTTCACCGTCTGCACTGTGGCCAGCGCTCTAGACCACTCGGCCACCTACACTGTACAAAAACAATTCAGCTTTCGATGGCCTCGTCAGTAGAATCTAGAGTTGTAACACAGTACATGATATATAAGGCATGAAGATGGAATTGATTGCAGATTAGCTAAATTATCTGACGTAAAGGATCGTAAGATGCAGTCACAGAAATAATTATTCGATAAGTACGTCTAAACAAGTGACAACTCTACGACAGATCCACCAGTGAAGGTGATACACGGCTGAAAACACATATTATATTCATAATTACTCTAAATATCAGCACACCAATGTTAAAATTTGCGGAAGCATATTTTTGTTCTTCCCTCGCCGGGATTCGAACTCATGCTTTTGGGATATCGTGACAACACCGCCTGCAATCTGTCCAGCGCTCTAGACCACTTGGCCAGCTAGACTACAAAAACAAGTCAGCTTTCGGTGGCCTAGTGTTACCTTTCATCGTCAGTAGAATCTAGAGTTGTAACACAGTACATGATATATTAGGCATGAAGATGGAATTGATTGCAGATAAGCTAAATTATCTGACGTAAAGGATCGTGAGATGCAGTCACAGAAATAATAATTTGATATATATTTATATACATGTATGTGAAATATATGACATCCGGTCAATGAAATTCGAAAAAGAGTGAATTAAGGTAAGTAACAATATTTGTATTTTGACGGAAAATCACATTGTGTACCTTTAACATTTCTCAGGTGTTTGAACAAGGCAAACAGAAGTAGATCTAAAGCCATCAAGATAGCAATAGATAAGGAGGTTAAAAAACTGGGAGAAATTACGTGAGTTTAGTTACATTAATTACTTCACGTATATTTATTTTTGTCAGTATAAAATTGACAGTGAAATGTCAATCTTAATTCAGATTTTTTCACTTTGTCTCATAGTTCATAACTGAAGAATATGATAATTGATAGTTTTAATAAAATTAATTTAATACGTTTACATTTCTTGTAAATTATGTCTTTTTTTGAAATTTTATCAACATGGTTATTATAAAAAAGAAGATGTGGTATGATTGCCAATGAGACAACTCTCCACAAGAGACCAAATGACACAGAAATTAACAACTATAGGTCACCGTACGGCCTTGTTTATGGTTTAAATGAAGTAATTATTTACATAGGCGACAATGGTAGCGAATAAAACTGTAAAACACATATGCCGCCGCAGCTTTTTTGATAGAAAATGGCTAATTGCTTCCTTATAAATTTAATCTTCGGGAAGTCATGTTAGGATGTTGAACAATCGAAAAACTTGCAAATTAATTGTCAATAAAAATGCAGAAAAGTATGTTTAATTGTTTACGACACGTTCTCACTACAGTGGTGCTACAGCAGAACATAATAAAAAACTGTTTAAAATCATTTGAAAAAAGGATTAACTCATCAGATCGATACAAAACAGAAAACAAAAAAGCAGACCAGACTCTCTAATATTTATTCACATTTTAAATGTTTTTTTTTTATTCAACAAAACATTACATATTTTGTCCAAAGCCGATGATTTTAGATTACTGTGAATCAGCAAATTTTAAAATCAAAAATATAAATGCTTATTACGACTTTAGCTATACTTTTTGTACTTTTTAGCTTTCGGCATCACTTGGCGTCAGTCGTCGTCCATCGTCCGATGTAAACTATTTCAAACATCTTCTCTTCTGAAAGTACTGAACCAATTCCAATCAAACTTAAGCTGAAAGATCCTTAGTGTTTCTAGAATAAAGTTTGTGTTTTATTTTTTGTTTCGTCAAAAAACATGGCCGCCATGGTTAAAAATAGAACATAGGGGTAAAATGCAGTTTTTGGCTTATATCTCAAAAACTAAAGCATTTAGAGCAAATCTAACAAGAAGTTAAAGAATTCATTAGGTCAAGGTCTACCTGCCCTGATATTATCAGCCGAATCGGGTATCTGATTTTTAGGCTATTGCCCCTGAACTGATGATTTTAAGGAAATTTTGCAGTTGTCGGTTATTATCTTGAATATTATTATAGATAAAGATAGACTGTAAACAGCAAAAATGTTCAGAAAAGTAAGATCTACAAATAAGTTTATATGACCAAATTGTCAGTTGACCCCTTAAGGAGTTATTGCCCTTTAAAGACAATTTTTATACGCCCGTCAAAAATGTATTATGTTATACAAATGTCCGGCGTCCGTCCGTCTGTCCGTCCGTCTGTCTGTCCGGCGTAAACATATCGCACCGTAACTTGAGAATGACTTATCCAAATTTCATGAAACTTAACATAGTTGTTTCTTATGATGGTCAAACGATCTGTATACTTTTTGGTGAAAATAAGATTAAAACTTTTTGAGTTACGGGACTTAGTAACTAAAACAGGTGTGTGTTTTTTTTTTCACATGTCGCGCCGTATCTCAAAAACAATTTACGATTATTGCTTAAAACTTTACACACTTCTTAGTTATATTAATTTTAAGATCTGTATACTTTTTGGTGATGATTCAAAATTTTATTTTAGAGATATTGAGTATTTTGTTAAAAAAAGGGGGAGGGGTTTTTCACATGTCGCGCCGTATCTCAAAAACGATTTATGATTATTGCTTAAAATTTTACACACTTCTTAGTTATGTTAATCTAAAGATCTGTATACTTTTTGGTTTTGATTCAAAATTTTATTTTTGAGATATTGATTTTTTTTTTTTAAAGGGGGGTTTTCACATGTCGCGCCAAATCTCAAAAACGATTTATGATTATTGCTTAAAATTTTACACACTTCTTAGTTATATTAATCCAAAGATCTGTATACTTTTTGGTTTTTATTCAAAATTATATTTTAGAGATATTGAGTTTTTGTTAAAAAAAAAGGGGGGGTTTTCGCATGTCACGCCGTATGTCAGAAACTATTTATGCTTATTGCATAAAAATTCACACACAAGACGACGGGCGTATCATGCGCTCATGGCGCAGCTGTTTATTTTACAATTTGTTCATCTAGTCTGCTTACTTTAAAAGATCTTCTCCTTTGAAACTGCTGAATCAATTTCAGACAAAATTGGGCTGAATGAGTTTCAGAGTATCTAGTATAAATTTTGTATTTTATTTTCTTGTACGTCAAGAAATATAGCCACTATGGCTAAAATGGAACATAGGGGTAAATGCATTTTTTTGCTTTAGAATAAAATATGACAGATACAAAGAACATTTAAATGGCATTTTTAAGCCACTCATTAATATATATTGAAAAGCAAAAATAATCATTAATGAAAGATTTAAGCAAAAATTTTCAGGTGAGCGATTCAGGCTCTTGGGAGCCTCTTGTTTGGTTTTATCGGCTCTTGTCTTATTTTTGAATAAGTTTTGGATTTTCAAATACTTTGCCCTCGAACATCACTGAAGAAACATTTATTGTCGAAATGCGCATTTGGTTTAGTAAAATTGGTACAGTTAATGATAGTACAATGTATAAGTAATTTTAAAAATATACACAAAAGCGACTGTTGTTATAAACGCTCAAAGTATCAAAGAAAGCATTCTTTTTTAAATCAACGAACGTAGCGCTGCATTAAAAATGCGGAGACGAAAGACTTGTAACTAAAAAAGTAAAGATGAAAAAAGGCAAACACACAAATTTAAAAACTGCAGAATAATGATGCATGCCGTAAATGTATAACTGTAAATCTTAAAAGGTCCTTCTGGAAGCAATATTCCAATAATAGTTTACTTTATTATACTTTTAGTTTTGCAGAAATAACAGTGTTGATAGTATTTATCTGTTTAGCAATACTGTGGATTTTCCGTGATCTTCCTGATATTCACGGCTGGTCACTTGGATTGTAAGTATATCTGTGTTTAATAGTTTTACCAATTTCGAAGGATTACCTTGAGAAAATCGGAAGTAATGCTACATGTATCACGAGTATTTACGTACATCTTACTTTCTGTTTTTTTTTTTCTTTAACAGCTTTACAACACAGTAAAAAACACACGAAACCTTATGCGTGTGCAAACTTATCGATTGTTTTCACGATGTCTTATACACATACTTTAAATTTGTTTGGAACCTTTTCTTTTAAACAAATATTCAAGAATGCGCGACGTACGCACTGAAAACGGTATGTTTTATGTGTATTCATACGTTTAACTGTCGCTGATGTTGCACTTCATAAATATTTTAATTATCTTCTCTCTGTGATTACCAGAGAATACCACAAAAGACAATGGCAATGACGACTTTTGTATGAATGTAAATTGTTAGGTCTTATCGTTTCATTTGAACGCAAATGTGGATTTTTTTGTTCGCGCAAACGTATCGCGAATCATTAACCTCTGGCAAAAATTATAGATCTAACTAAAGCGAATACAGAAAACTTATGAAGGAAAATCACGTCTGAAATTATAAATCAAGAACTAATCATTGCGAACATGATACCGTCACATTTTTTTTGCATTACTAAAACATCGCAATAACTTCTTAATTTACATTTACTATAAAAGCGCTTAGTTATTTTAGTCTACGACTTTCTAATGCTCCTCCGTTTCATTTTCTTTCCCATGATCTATAGACATTTCATGAAGTTTCTCATGAATCCTTTATAGCAACCGATATGTTTTGTCTTTACAGTAAAACTAAGTACGTTAGTGACTCAACAGCATCCATCTTAATGGCCTGTTTACTTTTTATTTTGCCTGCAGAGATACCAAATGTTTTCTGTTGGAATAAAATTTCAAGTAAGTGACTAAGTGATAAACTTTCATCAACCCGTTGACTAGTTCGGAAACTGTTGAAGTTGAATATTGGTGAGAGCACACAAACGTATACAAGTTTCTTGTCCAAACAGTGGCCTTGGGGGACTCTCACATTAAGGGTTCAGGACCCTTCAATTACAAAGTGGATATTCTATCAAAATTTGAATATTCATAAATTTCATAAATCAAAAACTGTGTTATTTGTGTCATCATTCTTATTATACAAAAGGGATGTTTTTACGGTACACATCCTTGTATATATCATGGAAATAATAGATCATAAATTTGTTGCGTCCGAAGTGTTAATTTTTAATAATAAATTTGAGAATGGAAATGGGAAATTTGTCAAAGAGACAACAACCCGACTAAAGAGCAGATGCCTATACTAAGAACCTAATGACCAATTTCACATACTAAGTAATTGTTATATCATATTAGCAAATGATTTATTTCAAAGTTGACAAGCACATTCAATACGAATATTTAATGTGTGCTAAGGAAGATACTTATTAAAGGTATCACAATACAAAAGCAACTAAATTTTATCAAAATTTCATTTCAACTGTTTTTGTTACTTCTTAATATTACAAAACCACAGAAAAAAATAAATTTCCATATCTTGCACTGTTAAAGAGTTTTGATGATAATTAGTTTTATAAACAAATGCACGTGTCTGAATGATACAAATAAGAACATGTGGGCAGTACTTTGTGGTTAATCAAAAGAATCATTTGATAGCTTTATGACCACTGACCTGCTATAAAGATAACAGTCATAGAAAAGAGGTTGAATTCGGGGTTTATAGAAAAAAAGAAAATAATGAAATCCAAATAAAAAGATATTTCTTTATTGGAGCTGTCAGGAGAAAAAAAACAAAAAAATAATTTGGAGCTATAGAGGGAATCAAATATAAATGTACAGATATTAAACAAATATAATTGTACAACAATTAATGTTGCTGATGTTAATGCTGATATTTATATCAGATTTTCTTTAGGAGAATGTGTAAATATGGAATTCTTTTTAAAAGAAAACAAAAATTAAATATTTTATTTTCAAACTATACAAACATTAGAAAATTCTACTTTGTGTAAAACACCATACTTTTATTGTATACAATTATAATTCTAGAAATCCCCCATAAGAATCCTCTAGACTGACTAACTGATGATTTTATGTACACATCCATGATAACTTACTTTTTGGGAAAATGTTAAAAACAAAATATATTGTTTCGTGTACTATTTGAATAAAAAATCCATATTGAAAAATGCAAATTCAATGTGTAATTAAACTTCTGTGATCATTAATGGTTGATGTTTATCCAGGTGGTCGGAGTTTTTACCATATCAGTAGCAACTGACTTACAGCAAGGTCAATCACTGCCTGTAACCGAGTACGGCAGAAAGTGATTTTCCCCCGATTACAGTACTGATTTTCCCCGATTGTTTACTGATTTTTCCCGATTTTCCTATGTAGAGAACATCAAAAGGGTAATTATATATGAATTAATGAAAATCTGTGTCAATAATTATGCAACCTTCCTTTTCATTCATACATTTTTATCATTGACCTCCCATGGGCAATATGGATTTTAATGACCAATCCTAAAAATAGAAACTTTTCCGAAGCAAGGAAGTCATGGGAAGTGATTTTCTTATATTATTCAAATATCTAAATGTTATTTCTTTAATTATAGAATACTTATTCAAATGTGCAAATTAAGTAAACTTAGAGCTGGGAGTACTTTTTTACGGAGATTAGGAAAATACTAAAAAAAATATGATTTCAATTTCTGATGTAGTGTACTGATTGTCCACTATCAGTGTACAGATTGTCCCAGAGAAGATGAAGTTAATTACAGATTTTCCCCGATTTTCTCTTATAGTATCATAAGGAAAAAGGTTCATTCTAAGTTTTATTTTTAACTGTTACTTGCAAAAAAATATCAACATAGCTTTGATAGCTTTCTAAAAATGTCATCTTTGAAGAAATAGTAGCTCACCATCAGAAGACACATCCATCTGAAAAACTTGTCATTTGGAGAAGACTTGAAGAGGGTGGTGAAAGCTAACATACCATGCATTCATTCCAGAACTTCTTGACAGAAAAGGAAAAACTTTTATTAAAATACAAGATGAAAAAATTATAATTTGTAACTTATCAACAAATACACCACAAAAGATTATCAAAAAAGGCAAATCATCACAATCTCTAACCATTTCAGACAATTTATCAAATTCGCCAAACTATGAATCCAGAAATATACAAACAGTAAGTTATGAACCCCAAGCAAGAAGAAACCTGTTTAAAGTTTCTGAACCAACCAATGAAATATCAATGAACAAAAAAATCTCTAATTCAATTTTATATATAAAATTGTAGAATTACAGGTTTGCAGGAAAATTATTCATATATTCCACTATTTTTTATTTATACACATGCCTAAGTGTATATGAAGATCCACATATTAGTTTTATTTTTGAAGGATTAGCTTTTTCAAAATCGGGGACAATCTGTATAGGTATCAGGGAAAATCTGTAATCAACACAAGCTGATCGGGGACAATCTGTACACCAAAGCTCAAGTTTAATTGCTAGTTTTTTTCCCATTTAAATGCTTATTTTGTCCAAATTTCTACTTGCATTTTTCAGATTATTATATTTGAACAAAATTTCATGAAAAAAAATCTAATTTATATTCCCAGTTTTCTAAAAGCAGATTAAAACAGATTTTTGTTTACTCAAATCAGCTACAACAGCATCAAAACAAAGAATAAGGAAGGTCATGATGTAACTTCAAAGCAATCCCACCTCAGGATATCACTTACTAATGACTGCTGACCAGACAGAATAAATGATCTTTAACCAATTGATTAGTTCAAGCTACTTAAATTGAATAACAGAACTATAGTGTAAAATTTATCATGAAAAATCAGTACAAAATCGAGGAAAATCAGTACTATAATCGGGGGAAAATCACTTTCTGCCGTACTCGGTTACAGGCAGTGTCAATAATGATATAACTTCTCCCGCCAGATCTGGTACTTGATGCACAGGGTGTGCATTTACTTTTTATATTTAGAATTGCTGAAATAGAATGCTTTCTTACTGGTCAAAACCTAATTGATTTATGATTAAAGGCCAATCCTGAAGTATCCCCATGGTACATGTGTGAATTATATTGAAGTAAATGAGGTTCAAATAGAAAAATCCTTATCTATTCAAATGTGACACATACATTTTTGTCATGAGAATGTAGTTTTAACTGAAATTAGCTCGTAGACAGGTGCCATATATGCCTGATTTTAGCACATATTGTTCCTTGAACAGTTATCTTCAAAACCATGTTTCAGATTTCCAAAAACATCAATAAAACAAATTTTATACCTAATTAAATTGATTGATTTCTTATGAAAGAAGGTTGCAAACTTAATTGAAGGGTTAGGAGAAAATGAAATACAATAGGAAAAATCTGGGACACGGTTTTGGAGGTCAAACTGTTTTGCACAAGAATCTATCAAAAATTTTGGAATGCTATGAATAACAAAGAAGCTAATTTCATTCAAATGTGAACATCCGAATCTAGCAACTAATTACATAATAATCAATTATGGAATAATTATGTTACATGTATAATGAAATTATCACCATTTGAAAGATTAATCTTTCTTCTTTATTTTGGTTCCTCATTTAAGAATTTTAGAGCTGGATGAAAGTAATTACATCAGTTTAAAGTTGTATGATTGGGAGTGAAAAATCTTTGTATTGTGCTACCTTAAGCAACATCATGTTTGATAGGTGACTTCGGTAGTTGATTCACTTGCAAATATACATGTAAGGGAATGCCCTGATCTGAACAACATTAGGTCCTAGCAATATATATATATATATATATATATATATAGATTGCCTAACAATGTAATTTTAACACACTATTTAGTATGTAAATATAAGAATGTTTAAAATATTTACAAAATGATGAAAATAAACGCAATATTTCGCTAGACTAACTAGCTTTATCAAGCGTGCATCTATCCAGGTGAAATCGGATGTAGATGATAAGAAACTTTTGCAGCTCAATGTATATGTTGCACTTGAATTTAGCTGCCTTGAAAATAATACATAATTTGGATGAAGTTCAAGATTTTTACAAAATTGGTAGTTGAAGTTAGCAACGTCCATTGGCCAATATTACAGAATAAAAAGGACGATGCTGTGTAATAAATTATTCTTTATCATTCCTGTATCTTTTCTCATCTTTTTCGTTAAGACCATCAGGTTCTAAAGTGTGGAGTTGGTGGATCTTTAGAACCTGATGGTCTTAACGAAAAAGATGAGAAAAGATACAGGAATGATAAAGAATAATTTATTACACAGCATCGTCCTTTTTATTCTGTAATATTGGCCAATGGACGTTGCTAACTTCAACTACCAATTTTGTAAAAATCTTGAACTTCATCCAAATTATGTATTATTTTCAAGGCAGCTAAATTCAAGTGCAACATATACATTGAGCTGCAAAAGTTTCTTATCATCTACATCCGATTTCACCTGGATAGATGCACGCTTGATAAAGCTAGTTAGTCTAGCGAAATATTGCGTTTATTTTCATCATTTTGTAAATATTTTAAACATTCTTATATTTACATACTAAATAGTGTGTTAAAATTACATTGTTAGGCAATCTATAATTTTATTTGTGTAATTGAATTAATCTCTGTACTGATTAATCCACACTCCCATAGATTTGTATGTCATGTGCTGCTATTTATAGGCACTTATATATATATATATATATATATATATATTCATCTTCAGTTTCTCTCTATATATATTTAGGTTCCAGTTTATGCAGTAAGTAATAATGCTAAAACTTAGATTGTGACTTCCTTAAACATGTTGACCTAGAATTGATTTAGATCCTTTTCGTAATTATTTACACTTTCATTAATCACATGTTAAATGCATGTTGAAAAATACGATCATCAACGTAATTACATGATGCAATGAACATACATTTTATTCAAGATTCATTGACTTTTGGAAATGACCATGACGGTAAAATGGATACAAGGAAAATTGGCACTACCAATTTCTCTAAAGGGATCAAATTGTGGAATCAAATTGGCGATGAACTGTATTTGCTTGTATAGTTGAGGAATATGTTAACCTCCATTTTTGTATTTGTATATATGATAATACTTTCCTTTCGTTTTCTTCAATATACTGTATCGGGCATTCAATTGTGAAAATTCCAGCATTCTTTTGAAGCTGTATTGTTTTCTGTTGCAGTAAGGGTTTTTATATGAAAACATAGATTTTAGGTCCTCATGCACTTCAACTTTGATATCTATTTGACCTTTTAAACTTTTTTTATTCGAGCGTCACTTATAAGTCTTTTGTAACGGACACCATTTTAATTCTGGTATCTATGAGGAGTTTGTAGATAATATCAAACCAGTATATTGATGTATTCAAGAGAATTGATGATCAATTTATTTAACGACCAAATCCTTATGTCATTGTTAGGTTATGTTTGTGTTGTAAATTACCCTTGGGGATTCCTAATTGGCAAATAATATTGTATTTTTGTAAAAGGGTCCGGATTGGGTTTACCTAATAGAGAATAATGGGCAAAAAGTGCAGAATAAAGGGCAAATTAATAAATGCATAGAAAAATAGTCTAAAAAAGAAAGAATAAGGAAATGAACGACCCCCATCCAGATCCTCTTGTATTCGTTTTAGTGACTTGACGAGTGATACTAGAATATATAGTAAAGGGTTGTTTATTTACTTTGATGTTTTTTTTTATTTATCTTTGTCTTAACGCACGAGGAGGTTTGCGAATAGAATCTGATGTAGTGTGTAAACAAATAAAACAATACGTCACCAATTAAAATGTCACAACAAAGTCCCAATTGGCGCATAAGAGAAAGGGTTATTTTGATGGACAAAATATTTGTAATGCAAAACTTCCCTTAATTGTTACACATGTACTTCTGGAGATATTAAACCAATTCCCCACCCTCCTCCCTGAAAAAGGAATGTACATGCCTAAAGCTCCTCATTACTTTCTTCATACTGTTTTGTACTAACAATCGATACCAGGCAGTTAAGGTAGATGGGGTGTCTAAATTATAATCCATAGAATTTTTTAATAATTTGCCAAAATGTAGTTTATATCATGCTTTTTTGGAAAAAATAATAAAAAGAATGGGTCACGGGGCTTATTTTCACGCTACAGGTTGTGCAAGATTGACAGATTTTGTATAGATTATGCATGGAAAACGCAATTTTCTGCCATAAAACGAAAACTGCACCATAGAATTTTGAGATAAAATATGAGAAGATAGCTGTAATATTATACTTTCAGATAAGAAAAAGAAAAAATGGGGTCACCGGGCCCGTTTTCTTGCTACATAATAAAATAGATAAATTCCTAACACATTCTATTGTAAAAGTAACAATATTTGAATTATCTGCCCTTACATTTGAGTTGCCTCCCCTTATGTGGCAAAGTTGGAAAAAATTGAATCAAACAAAAGTATTCTGTTTTTTGTAAAATACAACCATAAATATAATTAAACATGTCATTTTCTATATTAAAATGTAAATTCTTACACATGACTTACCCACTACTCTCAAAATTTGCACATTTTATTAAAGGTCTAGACCGATTATTTTCTGGTATTTCAAAATCCAACATGGAGGAAGACACCCTATCTACCTTAAATTAAACAATACAACGATCAATGTTATTTATGTAAGCATGCACGAATAGAGGAATCAACAGAAAAATAATAGCATGAATTTCATGCGTGTAAAAGAGATGCGAAAGATCCTGCTCCACATGTGACACCCGTCGAGTTCCTTATGTTAGTACAAACCCGGTAATAAGTCTAATTTGGTAGGTCACATTCGTGAAAAGGGGACGGGATTGTAGTTACGACATTAGGAACATAACCGTAATCATCTGTGAAATGGATATTTCATAACTGTCAACAAATTTGTGAGTACTTTACGGAATAGCAAGATTGAGACATAAGGGTATAATGAAATTATATAGCTATCTGTTATCTCTTGATTTTGATGATTAAACCATGTATACGTGATTTAAAAAAAATGCAATGGTCGTTAATATTTTATAGCTGTAGATTAATGAAATATTACTGATATGATTATAAATCAATTAAATGGTAGCTAATATATCAATGTTTCTGCAGTAACGCATACTTTTGACTGATTTTATCTTTTTTTTTTTAATTTAAGGTAGCTCCATAGGTACCTTATCCTTAAGTAGAATCTTAGGCGTTTTCTTAGTTTAAGGTGTTTTATGCATTCCACTTAAGTTGTGTGGGCGTGACTTAAACCAACTAAGATTTTACTAAGGAAATACTTATTTTCAGATTTTTATATGCATACAACTAAGGTAAAAAGGGCGAAGTTTCTTTAACTAAAGTGTTTACCAAGAAAAATCTTAACTTAAGTAGCTTTCAGCATACGGGCCATGGACTCATGGGAATGATGGGAGAGATAGATACACATTTTGTTAAATTAAGATAGATTGATCACAATAATAAGGAATGCTATTTACGAAAGAAAAATAAAAATCTTCATAAAAATTCATTAACAGGAGATTCCGTATATAATACTTGATATCGATTCTATTTTAGACAAGTGGGATTTTGTCAGTTCCATGTTATACTACTGTCACCTTAAAGTCATATGAAACTCCAAATTTAATCTAATGTGTATATCTGGCTTAATTAACAAGTTGGAATGCAGGGAAATATGAAAACAAATGTCATATCTCTTTCAATTCACTTATATGTCACGTTTTCCACATGTTCCACGTGCTCTGATTTTATTGTTTATCAATGTCACGATCCAGTAAACTTCGCCAACAAACTCGAAAGTCAATTAGCTTGCGATCAACAGCACTTGAATGAAATGTTATTTGTCGATAATACGTTAAAGATGTGTAAGGAGTATAAATATCGTGCATGCAAGACTTAGTATAGTATATATGCATGCATTGGTTCAAAAATTTCGATAACTATTAAAACTTCAAAAAACTCGTTTCATATGACTGTAACGTGGTTAATCGTGTATTTTTTTTTTTCGTTCTGTGTATTTATTCAATAACACGAAACATGAACAATTTGTTATGCTCTATATCAGTAACGATGGATTCATAAACGATGAATGCAAACGTGTATACTTGATTAATCATACGTTGAATAATCGTCATTTTGTATCTTTATACTTCTGTAGGCAGCACTAATGAATACGAGAAACCAACCTACCGACCGATTTTGAATTGGCAAGTAACTAACCAGAAAGTGCCTTGGGGAGTTTTAGTACTCCTCGGTGGTGGATTCGCTCTAGCTGATGCAAGTCAGGTAAACTAAATAGATTATAAGTGTCATGCAAATCATAGTACGTCACATCCGGTTGCATACGAAAAAGGTTCCAAAAAAAATATTCCCTTGAATTTGACAGTTGAAGGAAATGAATCCTACATTTTATTGCAGTAAAAAAATTCTGAGTCATAAACATATATCTTGGGTGTTTCAAAGCACCCTGACTTTTTCATTTGGTGTTTTATAGAATATTTTGGAAACTTGAGGTTGCATGGTTACTAAAGCTTTTACACAGGAAAATAAGGGGTGAACATTTGATTGGTTAATTCCAGTGATGGTTATTTTCTTATATGCAATGAAATGTTATGTGAAATTTTGTCTATAGTACTGGACAGGATAAAACTGTAATCATGCCAAGTATTTCTTTATTTGAAACAAAGATAAATTCTGCAAAATTTTTTGAAAAGTGCAAATTTAACAAAGACTATTATGGGAAAATCAATGGTGGTATTACATGAAATTTAAAAAAAATGAGAGTACACATAAGGTCAAAGCTGCACGTGCACCTTTGACCTTATGTGTACTCTCATTTTTTTAAAATTTCATGCTATTTAAGTGAAATATTACAAAAATGAAATATTTTGAGTGGATTGAGTCTCAAAAACACATTTTATGAGAAAATTGTCTTGAAATATGACTCTACCGTGAATATTAGTAGACAGAGCAAGCCATAGTCAGTGTTTTGGGAAGCTTTTTCTGACTTTTTCCCCTTATTTCTTATGTTTTGCTATAATAGAAAACGTTTTCCTAAGTAATGCTTTAATAAATATATAGTTATTAGTAAACGAAATTATTTTTGAAGCAGTAATAATAAATCGTTCACTAAAAGGGAAGCTTTTTATGTCCCTCTCTGGAACGCGGCTTAATTTAAAGTTTTACGTAAAGACTTATTGAAACCTCCATGGAGTCAGTAAACTTTGATATGGATAGTTCATTCAGCTTGAATACTTCAATTAGTCATTTATTATCACATTTTTTTCATAAATGAGTGAAAGTTACCCAAAAATTTTTATTTATTGGCCTAAAAAGTTGGAATTTTGAGGAAATGAGAGGTATAAATGGACCAAAAGGGATCTTATAATGAAGACAAAGAGGTGCATTAGTGGTATTTATCATCCTAGAGTGATCTTTTGTAACATATTCAACTGTTTGTAGGCAGATGAGATACATTTTTGATCATTTATTGGTCCACACTATATTCTATCATGATGCGGCTTGATTTGGATTTGTCGAAGAAATTTTGCTCGAATCGCTATAGATGTCGTCATACATTATACTAGATATTTCTCAAACTGTTGAACTAATTATGACAAAACTTGACAGTAATGCTTGAAATAAACAGTATTACAAAGGAAAAAAATCACACATTCAGTTTATTCAACAAAAAAGTCTTCTTTAGGTGTAATACCACCAAATCATAGTACGTCACATCCGGTTGCATACGAAAAAGATTCCCAAAATAATATACTTGAATTTGACAGTTGTAGGAAACTAATCCTACATTTTATTGCAGTAAAAAAATTCTGAGTCATAAACATATATCTTGGGTGTTTCAAAGCACCCTAATTTTTTTATTTGGTGTTTATATAGAATATTTTGGAAACTTGAGGATACATGGTTACTAAAGCTGGTACACAGGAAAAAAAGGGGTGAAAATTTGATTGGTTAATCAGTGATAGTTATTTTCTTATATGCAATGAAATGTTATGTGAAATTTTGTCTATAGTACTAGACAGGATAAAACTTTAATCATGCCAAGTATTTCTTTATTTGAAACAAAGATAAATTCTGCACAATGTTTTGAAAAGTGCAAATTTAACAAAGACTACTAGGGGAAAATCAATGGTGGTATTACACCTATAAGAAAAATAAAATCATTATGAACTTACCATGACCTTCAATATTAAAAAAAATCTCACATTAACTGCAACTTCAAGAGCACCCCTATTACGGCTATCTCCGTCCGCAATAAAAAAGAATTTGGTAAGCGTCTGGTTTGTTGTCCATGGTTTTTAAATACACTTGTATAGTCCCTTCCGGTCTAAATGGTGACATTATTTCAAGCTACGAAGATAAATTGGATTCATTTAGAGTTTTTAAAGATCATATTTTTAACCACTGGAATGAAAATAAAACTTGTTGTAATTTGCTTTTGCATTTTTCAGGTTTCTGGATTGTCTAAATGGTTGAGTTGTGAGCTCAGTTCGATAAATGAATATGAACCCTGGATCATCAATTTAATAATTTGTTGTGTTGTTGCTGGAGCAACAGAAGTAACAAGCAATACTGCTACAGCCACATTACTACTGCCTATCATGTTTGATTTAGTACGTACTGTGACATATTACAATTACTGCTGCCTATATGTTGCACTTCTGTAAATAAAGATAATGCAATTTCCCATAGGAAATCTTTTTACGGCTTAAACTGTGCCACTTTTACCATGAAATGTCGTAAAAAATTTATCCTAGACTTTAAAGTTCATATGCACTACTTTTTTTAAGGTCAAAACATAGGGTTGCGCGGTATATTTTCAACATTTATATGCCCGACCTTCCAAGAGCTTAATACTTCAATTCTGTACTAACCTCCCTTCACTTTGGGTCTTCCTCATAATTCAATTTAGCCGCTATCCATGTGTATTTATACTGGTAACATTCCCAAGATATGTCTCTGTGAGATGAAACATATATATTGTTTTATTTAGTACGTAACATTGCACATTACAATTACGACTGCCTATAATGTTTGATTTAGTACGTATCACGTCACATTACAATTACGAATACATATGTTTGAGCTAGTATGTATCACGTCACATTACAATTACGACTGCCTTTACTGTTTGATTTAGTACATATCACGTCACATTACAATTACGAATGCATATATGTTTGAGTTAGTATGTATCACGTCACATTACAATTACGACTGTATATGATGTTGGATTCAGTATTTATCATTTAACGTTAGAATAAGGACTATATATAATGCTTGATTTAGTACGATCATGTTAGATTACAATTTCAACTACCTATAACATGTTTAACGTTTGATTTGGTATTTTTATGTCATAAATACAATTGCAACTGCCAATTATGTTTCATTTGGTTCGTTTCATGTCACATTACAATAGATATTGCCTATAATGTTTGAAAATCGCTGAAATGTTGTTGTGATCTAAGCTTTCGTATTTTAACAAAACATAGATAAATATAAGATACGAAAGCTTGAATATTTTGAGATAACCTAGATACAAAGGGAAGTTCAACATTTTTTTCTTGTGAAACAATTGGTGTGCATCATTTCTCTTTTTTAGCTAATGTATTATATATACTTTTATTGTTTTCAGGCCATAGGATTGAACCTTCATCCATTATATATGATGATCAGTGTCTGCATTGCTTGTTCTTTTGCTTTCATGCTACCAGTAGCAACACCACCAAACGCAATCGTGTTTTCTACGGGATACTTGAAGATTTACGACATGGTATGTTTATATGAATAAGAAAATAAAAAGACAGATTGTGATTGCCAATAAGACAACTATTTAGAAGAGACCAACTGACGAGAAAATATGTATATTTTTAATTGTTTATATAATAGATAAGAGGATATCAGGAATCACTACAAATACTTGACCCCTATTACCTATCTAGATCATATGCCGTAAAATTAAATCACTATAAAAGCCTGAACAATGCCGTCGTCGACAGGATGACCAATAACTTAAAGGTGAAAATAAAATTCGGCATGTAATTTGGAAAGCCGGGTCAACATGTGCTCGTTACTTCCTTTCTGTTGCAAATGTAGCTTCAACTACTGGTTGGACACTGCCGATCAAGAAGTCCAACACTAATGTTAATATAAAAATAAAAAGATGTGTTATGATTGCCAATGAGACAACCTTCCACCAGAGACCAAACAAGGTAGAAGTGAGCGACTATACCGTACGGCCTTCAAAAATGCGCGGAACTCAGACGGATATATTTTAATGCGACGGGTTTCAACATGTGTGAGAGCGCCCAACCCTTTCGCTAGACTGGAAGAGTGGTGTATCAGCTAAGCATAATAAAAAACTAAAAATCAATTGAAAAGTGCATTACTCATGAGAATCGATACAAAGCAACAACAACAACATTAATTTTGTTTTATAACATTTTTAGCCCAGTGCACATTTTCAATTAGAAAATAGACATGCTCAAATAACAATGAAACATTATTTTAATGCAATTTTTATAAAACAATTTTTTTCATTGGCTAAAATTAAACATGAAATCCACGGTTGACATGTCGTAATAAAGGAGTGAGCCTCCATATTGAATTGCTTGGATCAACAAATGTTTGATTACTACAATATCATCGGAAATAAAACAGAACCTACCCCAAAATCGCCGTTTTAATGTGATCTTTTCCCAAATTGAATCATAGAAATAACGTAAAAGCTTTCAGTTTGAACGTTGAAATTTGTATGACGTCATGTTTAGCCATGACGTTTTTCGCAAAAATCATTCATGAAGCTTATTTTTATTTTCAAATTTATAGATATTCTTCAAGTTCTTACGTATTATTTCTTTTTGTAATGCATAAGAATCGGAATAACAGTAGCGTAGGTCAAGAGTTGCCGTCGTCAATTGGGGTTTGATGGTCGCCAAAATCCGTTTAACTGGCTCCGCTACGCGTTGCCACTAAAACTGCATTTGCGACCATCACATCGCCAAAAATTATACAAATTGCCAAAAAAAAAATTGGGTTCTAAATTTCATTATCATTTAAATGGCTTCATTTATGTCGACCATCAAAGTCAAATTTGGTTTCAAATCCCCCAAATAAATGTTCTATACTATTCAATGTCCATGTAGTTATAAACACAATTTTGTGTAAACTACACATAGGTATAAACAGGGAACACACACTGTTTTCAAAGAATTTTCTTGGTATCACAAGGACTAAATCTCAAAATGAAACATTCGGACGGTTAATTCATTTAGTAAACTGTTTATAAAATAAGTCACACCATTGTCACTCTATATGCCCAAGCTTGGTTTTTACTAAACTTGTTATATAGATCATAGGTTCAATCATAGTAAATATAAGTTGATAATTTTGTATTCATGCTTGTATATCAAAAACTATTTCCATATACAAAATTTGTAATCAGCAAGTAATCATATCAATGTTATCTAAATGTAACCTAAATGTAATTATGATTCACCCTTTTTTTAGATCACCTGGCCCGAAGGGCCAAGTGAGCTTTTCTCATCACTTGGTGTCCGTCGTCCGTCGTCCGTCCGTCGTCGTCGTCGTCGTTGTCGTCGTCGTCGTCCGTCGTCGTCGTCGTCGTCGTCGTCGTCCTCGTCCGTCGTCGTTAGCTTTTTACAAAAATCTTCTCCTCTGAAACCACTGGGCAAAATTTAACCAAACTTAGCCACAATTCTCATTAGGGTATCTAATGTGTCCGATGACTCCGCCAACCAACCAAGATGGCCGCCATGGCTAAAAATAGAACATAGGGGTAAAATGTAGATTTTGGCTTATATCTCTGAAACCAAAGCATTTAGAGTAAATCTGACATGGGTAAAACTGATTATCAGGTCAAGATCTATCTGCCCTGTAATTTTCAGACAAATCTGACAACCTGTTTGTGGGTTGCTGCCCCTGAATTGGTAATTTTAAGGAAATTTTGCAGTTTTTGGTTATTATCTTGAATATTATTATAGATAGAGATTAACTGTAAACCTCAATAATGTTCAGCAAAGTAAGATCTACAAATAAGATGGCATGACCAAAATTGTCAGTCGACCCCTTTAGGAGTTATTGCCCTTAATAGTAAATTTTTAACAATTTTTCGTAAATTTTTGTAATATTTTACAAAAATCTTCTTCTCTGAAACTACCGAGACAAATTTAACCATACTTGGCCATCATCATTATTAGGGTATCTAGTTGAAAAAATTTGTCCGATGACCCCGCCTTCCAACCATCATGGCCGACTTGGTTAAAAATAGAACATAGGGGTAAAATGCAGTTTTTGGTTTATATCTCTGAAACTAAAGCATTTAGAGCAAGTCTGACAGGTGGAAAAAATGTTCATCAGATTTAGATTTATCTGCCCTGAAATTTTCAGACGAATCCGACAACCTGTTGTTGGGATGCTGCCCCTGAGTTAGTAATTTTACAAAAATTTTGCAGTTTTTTGTTATTATCTTAGATATCATTATAATATCTAATATCTAATACTATTAATTATGATTTTAACCTTATTTTACATGATTTCCAAAGCATCAGTAAATACAGGTGAGCGACACAGGCTCTTGAGAGCCTCTAGTTTTACATTATAATCGATTAAATTACGAGTACATGTAATCAGAAATTGCATGATTACTGATTACATGTGATTATACTGCAAAATGTAATTGATTACAGCTGATTATGATTACCCCATGCCTATTTGCAGCATATGATCATTACGACAATAAATGTATCTCCAGTGATGCACGAGGCCAAAATATTTGAAAATTCAATACTTAATCTGGAAGCTAGTTTAAAGCCAAAAACAACTACCGGTAATAGAAAAAAATATGTATCCAAGACAAAATAGTTTGTTTATATTTCCATGTTCACTGTATTTCAATATAACTGCTGTAAATATACATACTGCAGTAGTTCATTAAAAAATAAATAACATTTAACACTCTTGCCTCGACGCTGAGCGCGTCTAGTTTGATGTCCTTGTCTTGAATGTTGCCAATTGATCGGCAGTCCTTCGGGTGGAATTTTAGAATTGTCGTTGGTAACTGCAAGTTTCAATATCGTGTTTTGTCGTGTTACTTTGAAGCAGATCCATCATCCAAGATGGCCGCCAGTGGGGGGACTTCGTTTAACATAGGACCCTATAGCCAATACATACAATTGTCTTCTTTTAAAGAACAATGAATGAAATGAAACCAAACATGACATGAATGTTCCTTATGAGGTGTTGACCAAGTGTTGTAACTTTGTAGGCGATCAATCATCCAAGATGGCAACAAGCGGGGGACATCGTTTAACATAGGACCCTATGGACAATACATACAAATGCCTTCTTTTAGAGAACCACTGAATGGAATGAAACTAAACATGGCACGAATGTTCCTTATGAGGTGCTGACCAAGTGTTGTTACTTTGTAGCTGATCCATCATCCAAGATAGCCGCCAGCGGGGGACTTCGTTTAACATAGGACCATATGGACAATACATACACATGTCTTCTTTTAGAGAACCACTGAATGGAATAAAACCAAATATGGCATGAATATTCCTTATGAGGTGCTGACCAAGTGTTGTTACTTTGAAGCCGATCCATTATCCAAGATGCAGCCCTAGAATGACTTATTTTAACAAAGGACCCTATGGGAAATACATACAAATGTCTTTTTGTAGTGAACCACTGAATGGAATGGCATAAAACATGGCATGAATGTCCTTATGAGGTGCTGACCAAGTGTTGTAACTTTGTAGGCGATTAATCATCCAAGATAGCCGCCAGCGGGGACTAAGTTTAACATAGGACCCTATGGGAAATACATACAAATGTTTTCTTTTAGAGAACCACTGCATGGAATGGCACCAAACATGGCATGAATGTTCCTAATGAGGTGCTGGCCAAGTGTTGTTACTTTGTAACCAATCAATCATCCAAGATGGCAACCAGCAGGGACATAGTTTAACATAAGACCCAATGGGAAATACATACAAATGCTTCTTCTAGAGGAGCACTGAATGGAATGAAGCCAAACATGGCATAAATGTTCCTTATGAGGTGCTGATGAAGACCTTAATATATGCATCTTTATAGATTGAGATATACTGTAAACTGCAAAAATATCAAGAAAAGAAGATCTACATATAAGTCAAAATGAGCAAGATTGTCAATTGACATCTTTTTGGAATTAATATCCTTATAAAGTAATTTTCTACAAGTTCAATGAATTTATTGGTAATTTCTGTAAACTTTACAAAAGTCTTCTGCTTTTGATTAAATTACGGTGCCAATATTAAACCAAATTTGGCCTCAATCATTATTAGGGTATCTGTTATGATTTTAATCTATTTTTACATTATTTCCAAAACCAAAGTAGAATCAAGTGAACGACACAGGCTCTTTAGAGCCTTTAGTTTAATTCTGAAACAATAACCGTGGACAAATTGTTCTGTTTGGTTTGTTTTACAAAGCAATATAGAATTTAGTATGCATCCACATTTATCACTAACACATCCAAAACAGTATATACGCTATATATGTAATCTGACAGTTTACCCTTTTTGATGTTAATAATTCCTCTGTGGATCAATACACTCTTTCGTAATTGTATTTTTTCCCCTGGTAATAATATACATATTTGATTAGATTTAATTTTACATTTTATAGGTACTTGCTGGTATTGTTATGAATATTATCGGGCTCGGAGTATTGACGCTGGCAGTTAACACATGGGCAGAACCTATATTTGGTCTTGATACAATTCCGGAGATGTTCAGGGCAACTAATTCGAGCGATACAAGTGAAAATTGTATTAAGCTGTGTGAATTGTGAAATCCAATACCTATACTTATTTAAGAAAAAAACATTTTGATGCCAAGTAAAAGTGAGAAGCAAGCACATCATTTGACGTAAACAGGAGCTAGTATATTAAAAAAAATCTACTCAAGAGAAATCATCTAACATAAAGTATACCGACCAAAGCAACCCTGACGTCAAAATAGTTTTTAGGAGATGACCAAACAGCGAAAGAACATTCATCTGTGGATAGAATTGACATTAACTGTTTTTTATATACCACTTTAATATTACACTATTCAAACAAAATAGCAGAGTTCTTTTATTGTAAAACTTATTCTTTGACTCATGTACTGAGTGCCGATATGAACGCAACACATCATATTCCTGGTCCCTTTTGGTCCATTTACAAAAGAATAACAAACAAGTTCTGTAAAAGTATTCATCGTATGATCACACTGGACAAATAGCAAAGGATAATTGTTGATCTGCGTTACTTTTTGGTACACTTGCTAAAAGGGTTCATTATGATTAGAATTTTACATCCAAGGTGGAACATGTCATTTTTTTAATACAAATGAGATGATTGTGGAGTCTAAATAGAAAACATAAATATCTGCCGATTTGATGTTTTCATAATTTTGAAAACACATGTAGGTGTTTGAAGTACAGTATATTTGTGGTATCATTTGTTATGCAAACGACAAAAACACACTTCAAACATTTTACTGCAATTGCTATTTGCTGTAATAATTGGAATATATTTTGAAAAAATGCAATAGGACTGTTTTGTTTGAGGACAATGTCTATTAATTGGTTACATTACCTAATTGAGTGCATGCAATATATAAGTGGAATCCTTAGTTTTATAAGTAAACTTTAATTTCAAAACATCGTTATTACATTTTATAACTAATACGGATTACAAAGAAGAGCTAATATAATTCATCTCACTAGATATGTGGCAAAAAGGTCAGATGCTATTTTCTTCTCCCAAATGGTTGTCTGTATGTCTTGACTTTTATGTCTGTTTTTTGTGTATAAATATATATACCCAAAAGTATGTGACCCTTGTTTAATTGTTATTCTTTAAATCGTTATTTCCCCTTGAAAACCGTTTTGGTAATTTTTGAATCAAATTGATAAGATGTGCAATAAATTTGGCAGGTTCATATTATCTAAAATTGATATTAAAGTGTCATCATATATAACAAGACAGACGTAAAAGAAACCCCTGTTAATACCACAAAAAGGCGATCAAGACAACATAACAATTGAAATTAATGCCTTACCTACGAATTAATAAGGTCACCGTTAATAAAATGTATATTGTTAAGTTTCTCCGCTAATTTGGAAAAAAGTAAATATCTCATAGTTCCAAATTCTTTTCTATGAATCATTAAACATTATTACATATGTTGTAAGTTTTGGGGCAATGAATCATAGGGAACCTTTTTTTATTGATATAACAGGTGTTGAATGCTACAAAGGATTTGGACACTTGTATCACTCAGTTTATATTCATAGGATTCGTATTGTTTTTTATTCCTTATTCCTTTTTTTATAAATTGATGATTTTAATGTATTATAACTTTGAATTTAAAAAGGCAAAATAAATGCCTCAGCTAACATGTGTGCATGTACTAGAAGATATGTCTTTAAGCTGGCCACTTGACTATTGTTTTGTAAAAAGGGGAAGAAGAGTATGATTTGTCCTATGTAAAATCTCCTTAATCCTAACTTCTCGATTATTTTCGCTACGCCAATTACCCTAGTAATTTTGATTGAAATCTCATGAAATCAACTGTTATTGTGATTAAATTAATATTGTACAGTTTTAAGGCAAAAGCAAGCTTCATCTAAATGGAGACTAGCAAAAATTCAAAGGAACACGTTTGTTTATAGGTTTTTTCATTAAAGTTATTTTACATTTCATCAGACATTTATCATTGAATACTTGAACCTTTCTATGGCTCATTATTCAAATTCAAAATGGTACACATCTAATAAACATAGTACTCTGGACTATCATGGGTTTGGTATTATAGGGACAATCTAAATAATACAAATGTAAAGACGTGAATAGGGCTCGTTTATCTGGGATACATTTATACTGTATGATCAATACTTGTATATATTGCTTATTTTTTTTTATATATAATGTATATCCTTAATTCTGATACGATCATTGTAGTCAGTAAAAAACAAACAAAAAAGATGTCAGTTTGTGATGCTATATTTAAAGATGGTGTACATTATGAAAAATTTATGTAACAGTAGTAAATTTGAATTGATGCCAATAATCATGATAATAATGAAAAGATATATAATTATATTTTTAACAGATAAACTGATAATCGCATATTGTATACAAAATAGTAATCTTAGTGTGTATGTTACTATCTATCAAGGAAAAGAAAATTAGTGATTGAGACAAAAAGTCTAAAAATACTTGAACGTTTTGTGTTTTAAATATACCTCATTTACATGTCCGCAGCCGTTTAGACAACGAAATCTTTATAACAACTGCAATATGTGTTATTTGAAATGTCAACACGTTTTTGTAAACAAAATGAACGCGGATAGTCTGCGGTAACATGAACATACGCATTCGATCCACATTCATCAAGTTAAATTTTTTGTACAAAAAAAGGTCAATTATATACATCTTTCCCTCTATCTTCTCACTCCAATATTTCAAATGAGCAAAAAAATTCATTGTATTATATAGAATCAAACGATTACGGAAAAATACTCATCAAGTTCAGGGTACGATCAACAAATAAATATCCGTGTACTTGTCATTGTGGCAATACAAAGGGGGTCTTAATACAGTTTAACTATAAATACCTGTACATAATGTTATGTGCACGGGATATATATAGTATGAACTTATATTTACAACAGAAACAAAAGATTCAAAATTACGCCACTTCCATATATTTCATTCCTAATGAACATAGTGGTGATAAACTGTACCCGTGTAAACTTTCACTGTTTTTACGGTCAAAGTCATTATCACCAGTATTTATTAATTTTCAGAAAGATGGAAAACCCTAAAAATAGCTTATTTTTAAGTGTGCTGAAAATGTGAATATAATAGATAAAACAGATAAATGATAGAATTAAGCTTAAAAGATGAAATGTGTTATACAAATATACATGTTATATTGATATTAGTATAAAAAACGTAAATATTGTTGTATATATAATGTATAATTTATTGTGTATAAATGAACCATGTTGTATATATGAAATTGAAATTAAAATGCTACATATCTGTTCTTTGATTTGTCGAATATTTGGGGGACGGGATTGGGATGGGGTCGGAGGGTGGTGCTGAGAGACAGCAATACAAAGGCTTTATAAATGGTGTAAACAACAAATGTGCAATGAACTGTTCGCACAAACAACGTCTGTATCGATCTGAAGAGTTATGCCCTTTTCAACTGATTTTTATAGTTTGTTTTTATGTTGTTGATTTTTATAGTTTGTTCTTATGTTGTACTGTTACACCACTATCCAAGGTTATGGGAGGGTTTACCGCCAGTTAACTAGTACATAAATCAGGCCTTTAGTTTTCTCGTTTGAATTGTTTTACATTTGTCATCTCGGGGCATCTTATTGCTAAATATATGGTATGGGTTTTGCTCATTGTTTAATGCATTACGGTGACCTATAGTTGTAAACTTATGTGTCATTCGTTCTCTGGTGGAGAGTTGTCTCATTGGCAATATTATAGAAAATCAGTTTGAGGGAAAACATACTGCAGCTTAGGTATTTCAAATTCCAAAGCCTAGGGATATCAATTCTTATTTATGAAAGATTAAAGCATGCTTATAGGATTGTTGCTATTAAAAAAAGAAAACCTGTTAATAGTTTTAAAAGTATGATTTAAACAATAATCTAATAGATTACTGGAGAGTATTAAATCCTTCAAAAAATGTTTACACATAAAGAAATCACAACAGCAATATAGCAGGCAGAATAGATTAGTTTCTAATTAATTCTGACATAATAAATTGCATTTTGTATAATAAGTACAGATATCTGCCCAGCAATAATCAAATGTCTATTGTCTAAATGTCTATATTCTTGTCATTTTAATGTTATAGTTAACATTGCCATAAAAGTGGGAGGTTCGGCTAGCCACAAAACCAGGTTCAACTCACCATTTGTTTTCTTAAAATGTCCTGTACCAAGTTAGGAAAATGGCCATTGTTATATTATAGTTCGTTTCTGTGTGTGTTGCATTTTAGTGTTGTGTTTCTGTTGTGTCGTTGTTCTCCTCTTATATTTGATGTGTTTCCCTCGGTTTTAGTTGTAACTCGGATTTGTTTTTTTCTCAATCGATTTATGAATTTCGAATAGCGGTATACTACTGTTGCCTTTAATTATGTACAGATTATCAAACAGTTTAACTTAAAAAAAACATACAAAACACGATCAGGGGAAGGGATACTTTAAATTAAACAAAAGTATATCCAATGAACAAAATAAAGCAAATAGCAACATATTATTTCAAAACTTAAAGATCAATTTAGAGTAAAAGCATGAGAAAAAAACCTATTGTGTGATAGGACCTATCTAAATTTACATTGTAAGTAAGGGATTCAACTATCAACTATTGTAAGGCTAAAGAAAAAAGAAAAGATAGAAGTACTTGGAAATTTGGTAAACAAAATAAAACATCTTAATGAAATCGGCGGTAATGAATTAAATTCACGAAATCTCAAAACCATAAAGACCCATTGGTGGCTTTCGGCTGTTTTCTACTCTTTGGTCGGATTGTTGTCTCTTTGACACATTCCCCATTTACATTGTCAATTTTATCAATATTAAAGGATATGCGGATACAGAAAAAAGTATTTTAAGAAATTATGCAGACGAAAAAAAAGAAAGCCCAAACGACATTTATATTCAAATGGATCGAAGAAAGAGAAAATAATTTAAATACGTACAGTGGCCTATTATAATTGCTTACTACCACTTCATTTTAACTTTGGTGGATAGTCGTCTCACTGGCAATCTTGCTACATCACCTCGTCCTTTATATTTCTTGGTTTAGAAAAACACGCAAAGATATTATATTTATTAAAGATAACCAAAGAAATATAAAAGATGGCCATAGTAATATATTAGAAACTGAAAGAGAATATTATGAAAGGTATATACTTACAAAAACAGATGACATTGTAAAGAAATTCAAGAGTGTATAGAGGAACTAACAATGACTACACCTTAACTAAAGAATGAAGTTCAATCCAGAAAAGCGCCTCAGATGCATGAAATTTATAAAGTGTTGTTTTTATTTTTTACGGCACCAGGTCGATACCGCTGCTGGTGGACTATCAGTCCCCGAGGGTATCATCAGCTCAGTACGTAGTCAGTAATTCGGTACTTATATGATTTAAAACAAACATTTCTTCTATTGTCCGTTTGTCTTATAACTTATAAATAGAATACATCCTTTGCATACAAAAAGTAAAGGATGTGTAACAAATCATTGTTGGATCTCTGCATTCTTTGACATTCAGAGGCGGTTATGCAAGGCTGTCCGGTCAGTGTTATTATCTTCAAAATACCAGTATAAATCTTAGCATGTAGATTAAGACAAGCCAACAGTATTAAAGGTTTACAAATCTCATTAGATAATAAAATATACAGTTGAAAATTCAGTCAGCTTGCAGAAAACACAACATTGTTTGTCAAATCTAGACAAGACATTAAAGCGGCCCTCAACATTATAGTTAAAGATATTTGGTTCGTTTTCTGAACTTAAGCTTGATACAGATAAAACAGAAGATACTGTTGATTCGTTTTCTTTAGGGTTGTATGCAGAATTTGGCAAAACCACAAATTAATCAAATATCAATGAAAATACATTTTTTTCCTCGATCCACGAAATTGGTACCCACCAAAATAAATAAATCCATAGTATTTGGAAAGGAAATCTACAAAAGTAGTCGAAATTAATATGAAAATATAAAAGACTTCTACGTTGTTCTAATAAAATGTGTACATCTTTTGTTTTCTATGTATGCAGGACTATAGTCAGAATAAGTTGTTGTAAAATCAAATTCCAATTACAGTTACAACGTTTTCTTATAATATTTTTATATAGGATAATTCAGCTAAGTTACTGATTTCTGTTCACTAATGGAATTGATTTAAAACTTACTTTTAATTTTTGTAATTTTTATAAGCCTTCAGTGGGATTTGAACCCTTCCTTGAAATCTGTTATGTGTGACTGACATCATTACATCGACGAAACCTCTTGGCTACCAATGTGTTCTACTTTAGATAATTATTTTATATATAAAAACAAACATATAATACACATTAGTACAACGGTCCCACAGGGCTCATGTATACATACAAGACAATCGTTAAGTATAAGTTGGTACATGTAGTTGGTCAAGTTAAAGGTAGAGATTTGTCGGTTTAGGTTTATTCGAATCCCTGTATTTTCTTTGTTGACGCTATTCTTTAGTTTTGCCGTTTTTCTTATTTTGTATGATATTGTGGATATTTTTGTAATAATAGCGGGTTTTTCCGTTTATTTTTGGATTATTATTGGCTATTTCACACATTTGAAACGAAAATGATTACATTGTTTTATAAATACCGTATGCTTTCATCTGTTTTACTACATATCTTTACACATGTTTATTCGCAAATCCCTATGCGAGTAAATCGTGATGTGACAAGAACGCGGCTTTTTGCTAGAAATTTCGGTAACATACATGTCATAAATGCTTAGAAATAAGTTCGAATGTGTCTTATTTTGTAAAATACGGATAATATTCAGATGCCTGACAATTTAAAGACAGGTTTGTTATGTTACATTAGTATTTCTCTAAAAATTAATTGTGAACTTAGATTTATTAATGTATCGTTAGTCATCGGGCATTTAAACTTACTTACAATACCTTCTTTTTAAGAAAAAGCCTTGATTTTGAATAGACATCAACACAATAGTTCATGTTAAAGAAACAATGGATAAGCATTGATTCATGAAAAAACAAACCATTTGCTCTCCAAGCTCATGGTTTCTTGTTCAAGAATCAAGGCTTATTCAATGTATTTATAATACGTAATGTTACCGTAAGCCTATTTTTTACAGTAGTTCTGGCTTCTAATGAGACAGTTGTATCCTTAAAAGATTTGTACACAACTTTAATTAATGAAAATTAATAAAGAATACTTTGTTTAAAGAAAAGGCAAAACAAAACAAAACTAAAAATACTTACACTGTAATGTTTGGAATTTCAAAAAGACAGAATGTTTGAGATTAAAGATAAAAGGCCAAAACAAAAGCCACAGAACGTGAAGGCTCAAATAAATATGGATCCTTATCATAAGTACATCTGCACAATTTATGAACGGGAAAAATAGACCATATAAAAACTAGAAATGAGCAAAAGACAACAAAGGGATATTCAAACTCATAAGTCGAGAAAAAAACTGACAATGACATGGTAAACAACGAAAAACGATGAAAAGACAAACAACAGTACACAAAACACAACACATAAAAAGCTAAAGACTGCAAGACGAATCCTATCAAAAAACCGGGTTGATCTCAGGTGGTCCGAAGGATAGGCAAATGTTGCTCGTGTAAGTACAAAGCAAGAGATCAGTCTTCTCGGGTAGGTGACATACGAGGAAACGGGGACAGGATTGTGGTTCCGACAATTGAAATATATCAGTCGAAATCTGTAAAGCAAATATTCCATAGCGGTCAACCAAATAAACTTAATATGTCGATTTCAATGCACAAGACATGTATTGCTTGGAATTCCAACATGGATGCAACATTTATTGGAAACTGTATCCGTAATTGAGAATTCGTAAACTAATCTTAATCTTTAAGTTATTGCAAACAATATCGATGGCATGCGAAAACCAACAAAAAAAAACATTGAGCAGTACCTGCACCTGAGGTTAAGCAGAGAAAACAATGTGTTGAAATGTCAATTTCTTCATTACAATCAAATCGTTTGTCTTTGATTGAATAAATACTGCACTTGATAAAGACCAGACTTTTCTCTTTATATTCACAACTTATTTACAATATACACAAACATGGACACTTAATCAAATTCATTTACTGCCAGAAACCATATTAAATAAGATTTTTCATTACATTATTCATCTAATCAGAGGAATAAAGTCCTTGTCTATTTTTGTATTTCTTTATGTGCTGTTTCAATTTATTTGATACTCTTGTAACAAGAAGCATTTAATACTCAATTTCATCATACGATGATTTTTTTTAAATTTTCATTAGCGTAAATTAAAATAAGGATCAAATCATAGTTCGTCACATCCGGTTTCATACAAAATAGGTCGCAAAAAAATATTCCCTTGATTTTGACAGTTCTAGGAAATTAACCCTGCATTTCATTGCAAAAAAATAATTCTGAGTCATTTACATATATCTTGGATGTTTAAAAGCACCATTCTTTTTTTATTTGCTGTTTCCATGAAATTTTTTGGAAACTTCAGATGACATGGTTACTAAATCTTGTTAATAGGAAAGAAGGGTGCAAATTTTAATGCCTATGATTTTGTTTTACATGGTTTTTCATTACCCTCTTGGTATCACCCTTTGGACATATTGTATAGAAACTAGGTTTCTGTATTACGTCCTGTCGACGCACTTGGTTTAGCTCAAAAAATCCAGATACGATCAAAAACACTGTTTCATACAAAAACTTACGTTCAATTTTTATATCACATGGTCTTTCAAAAAGCTTTCAACATTACCTTTCGATAAAAATTACGTTTTTGTTTCAAATGATTGTCTTATCAGAATTTTTAAAATTGGCAAACATTTTGCCGTTTACTTGAAAGCTGTCCAAGTTTTTTTGTTTTGGTTCTTTTGGGTTGTTTATTTTAGTTATGTTTTTCTCTATTGTTTTTTTTTTATTATTATTATTGTTGACATACTAATAATGTACACATGTCCTTAGAAAACACTTGTTCTATTTTACATAATTACATTCAGGATTTCGTCAGTCTGGTTAAAGCATATAAAGCTCTAAGTGCTGTATGTACACAGAAATATAATAATTATATATAATATAAAAATTGAATCACAATAAAAAAAAGTATATCAAAAATACCGAACTCCAAGGTAAATTCATAAAGGGGAGGTCCATAAAATCGAACGTTTTCAATCAACCTGGTTTTATAGCTAGTTTAAGCCCCCAATTGTATGACTGTTGTTTATAGTTCCGTTATATTGACAAAACAAAACAGCATATGCTTAAATCGTCTACCTTTATCTTAACATCGGTAAATCGATACTACTGGTTGTCACATGTGCACATAACATGCAAACATATTAAAGACTATATGTATGATACTAAAAATCATGATTTACTCAATGGAAGGCCCGTCACTATTTATACATGTAGCTATCAAAATTTTAATATATAAATAGGATTTTTTTAACACGCACAGTTCATATTACAGGAGCATTTCACATTTTGTTATTTCTTGTAAACACAAAAAATAGTCGCATGTTTCAAGGAATTTGAATATATAACTTGTATACACTGTAGCTGATTATTGTTCATCATTTCTTCAAATTTGAAAAATGACTTGGTTATTGCATACATCGCATTATATGAAAGTCAGCCTCGGGTCAATAAACGGCGATTGTTACCATGTATATTGTTGTGTTGTCTCTTTAGGTTTCCCTGGACATTTGTTGTAATAAGATACAGTCGTGTTCCATTTCCAGGAAACTGAAAGATAATTTTTTTTTTTTCAAACAACGGCCATACTCATTGCAATACGCATGTCAATCAAAATAAAACTTTATAAATCTAGTGCGTCTAAACAGCTGTTCTGGATTAATAACCTTCATTGGGCAAACTCAAACCAACATATTAACAACACATGAATGATCTATAAACTCACCATAGATATCTTATTTGACGTTTTATCTTTTATAAATCGAACGTCACTGAGGAGTAATCGTCTTGTATAGACAAAACACGCGTCTGGGTTAACAAAAATAATCCTGGTATCTATGATGAGTTTATTTTTACACACAATAGGAATCATACTTTACTTTCACTTCCATTATTGTGTTAAACCACAGATAATGAGATTTGTACTGAACATCTGTATGCCATTTTTTATATGTAAGATATTGCTAAACTGATTGTACTGAACATCTATATACCATTTTCAGATGTAGGATATTGCGAAGCTAATTGTACTGAACATCTATATACCATGTTTGATGTAGGATATTGCTAAGATGATTGTACTGTACATCTATATACCATTTTCAGATTTAGTATACAGCTAAGCTGATTGTATCAAAATCCTTGGAACGTTAGGTTAGCATAAGTTCAATATCATTTTCACGTGTAGTAGCAAAAGTTTAAAGCAGTACTAAAGACAACAGACAGACTTTGGAAAAACACGTTTTGAAGCCCGCGATAGTCATCATTCAATCTGAGAAATAATTGTATTATATTGATTATACTAATCCCATGATTAAAAAAAGTCTATTCTATATTTCCAATAGAGTGTAAATAAGAGTTAAAAGAGTCTATGTTATGTTTTGTCGGGGGGATTTTTCAAGCAATTATTGGTGGAGGGATTTGCTATTTACTATCATGTTCTTGACCTCATAATAACCTTCAACTTGAGAGTAAATAAAGTTGTGCTCGTAAGTAAATAAGAGATAAAAAAAAGTATAGAAAAATAATATAAATGTACAAACCTATTGTCCCTTAACTATGAGTAGCCTTCGTCTTAATTTCCTACCTAGAAATTGCCTTGGAATTGTTCTTTCAACATTCGTTTGGAAAGGTTGCCGTGAAATTTCTTGTCTAAAGTTTCTCCGCATTTGTTGTCTTCGAGTATTCCGAGTTAATTGTCTTTGCATTAGTTGCCTTTGTATTACTTGTGTAATATTTCTTCGCACTTGTCTTTCAATATTCCGAGTAATTTGTCTTTGCATATGTTGCATTGGAATCGCTTGTGTAAAGTTTCTTTGAATGTGATGACTTTGAATATTACGAATTAGATTTCTTTGCATTTGTTGCCTTGGAACCATCCTCGCGGCTGTATTTCGCATCGGTTGTCTTAATAATGTTTGTGTTGCTTTGTTTTGCATTGGTTGTCTTGAAACTCTTCGTGATACTGTTTCTGGTAGAGGTTGTCTTGGAAATGAACCTTCCCTACGGTATTGAAGACCCCGGGGATGATTGGTATACACATATCGTCCACTTATAGGCTGCGTTGGTCTAAAGTTGTCTGATAATGTTCGGAAGCGACGAAAATAACGGTCGCCGAGACGCCTAAATTCGTTTATCTATTTAAAAAAAGAACACTATTTAACGTACACAAAATTCTGGACAGGTAGAGAAACAAAGTACATTTAACAAGACATCAAGGTCTATATAAACTATTTAGCGACTATTAGGAGTGGTAGGTTAAACTATATTGTATGTCGTGGTTATGTTTGTACATCAGACCTTTTGTTTTCTCGTCTGAGTTGTATTACTTTTTATAGTTTGCTATGGGGTATAGGTATGGCTCATTGTTAAAGGACGTACATTTATCTATAGGTACTAATATCTACATCATTACGTCTCCAGTTGATAGTTGTTTTAACCTTTAAGTAAATGTGTTTACTTTATTCACGCGTTTAGACTTTCGCTGTTTTTGCAGGAGTTGTTTTATGTTTATCCTTTTCCCCGGACTGGTTCGTATGGTTTTTGTTATTGCATTGAGAGTACAAACAATATTAATGTGTTTCATTGTAGAAGAGGAAACATATTATGTAATAAAAGATCACCTGTACTTGGGAAATTCGTATATGCTCTTGAAAAATTGTCCATACAACGCTTTCGTAACACGGAGGAGTCGTCAGTCCACCATAATATCTATAGAATACTTCAGTAGAACGAGGAAACAACGAGCTCAAAGAAAATGTCTGAATTTCTACGTGGTCATCTACAAAAATATATGAAAAAGAAAAGTGCAAGTTAAACCAGACTCTATTGTCCATAATTTGCAACAGACATAAAGTACGTTTTTTCCTGATCTTTTACGTAGAGTTAAACAATACATTATGTGGAGGAATGAAGTTATTCATAGTACGGCGAAGTACGATTAAGCACTTTTATTACAATGCTTGCAAATGAATAACCGTGCTTTCCCAGTGAAATAAAAACCAATAATTTCACATGGGAAATAAACTCGGTTATTTCACTCATCTGACGTCATACAACAATAGTTGTTGTCAAGACTTTGTCGATGATGTCGCATCAAAGCAACTGTGAATGCGTAGAAAAAGATATAGTTCCTTACATTTTCTACTTTAGTTCCACTAAAAATCACATTGGCAATATAATAAAAAGAATAACTAATCAAAGAATTCAAATATCGAAAAATATTCAACTCGTGACCGAGCAACACTGGTAATAAACTTATGCGCCGCGCGCATTCGTGAATTAATGTGTTGTTCGGTCACTCGTTGGATATTTTTCTCTATTTGAATTCTTCGATTAGTTAATATATTATTACATTAAAAGTCTGAATTTGTAACCTATGAATTTGAACGATTATGAAAAAGGTTAGTTAAAACCATCCGTTAAATGTTCGGTTTCGTGTGTTCAGGGATTTAATACCCCAGAATATTCTTTTGATTTAAAGGTAGAATAAAAACAAATCTAAATCTTATTTTACCTCTGTGGCGAACGTCGTTCATATGACCAATCATTTCATCAAACACAGGGTTATGATCGCCAATCTACAAACGTAAGTATTTAATATTTACACAAAATATGAACCATTATTTCCTTGTGTTTCCGTCGTCTTTTATTGACTTATGAGTTTGAATGTCCCATTGGTATCTTTCGCCTCCTATTTATCAGTATTGTGACGTTCAAGGCATTTTCTACTTAAATTTAAGTGTATGTTCTTCGAAAGGTATCTTTAGTTGAGTCAATATTCCTAATGCGCCTCACATAGAGGAACACAAAAGTTGTGTGTAAACAAAAAAATCTCTTGTGTAGTGATATTGGACATGTTTCTATTTTCAACAAGTAACTGAGCTTAACCATTTGTGTTGTTTTTTGGGAAAGTAAGAGGACCATAGAATAAATGTGTAAAAACTATGGCGTTATTAAATGTATGCAAAGTATTAAATGTTCAAAGAAATTATTGTTTGTAAAAAATGGATTTTTTACCACGAGAAGCCGCATCACGAAAGGATCTTCGGTGTTTACGGGAAATGAATCTCACTTCGTACCCCGAGAATGTCTCAGCTTCAAAACGATCCATCATACATATTCAAGTTTACGATATGGGCAGAGCTACAGAAGAAAATGTTACCATTAACGCCTATGGGAAATCAATTATGCATACTGACCAAGTTATAAAATCGAGCAGAAAGGGGCTAATTGAATAGTCTTCTTTAAAATGATAACCCCTTAACATGTTTAAAACACTATGATACCGACTTCCATAAGCACTACATGTATTACAGGAATAATATTCACTTTAGAAAGCCACATAAATAAATAGTTTCAGAGCCTAAAACCGAAAGGGCCAAATTAGAACAGATTGCGCTTGACCAGAGTCCGGAAATCTTTTGTGTTTGTCTTATTGTAGAGTACTGAGTCCTTTAAAGGACTGGTGTTAATAGCGAATGGTTTTCGAACCTCTCATCACATTTATTGTTCACACATCGTTGTCAATATAATGGAACTGTATGCGACTGTCATACAAGTGAGAGGTTTAGCTAGCTATAAGACCAGGTTTAATCCACCATTTTCTACATAAGAAAATACCTGTATCAAGTCAGGAATATGGCAGTTGTTTGCCATTCGTTTGATGTGTTTGAGCTTTTAATATTGCCATTTGATTAGAGACTTTCCGTTTTGAGTTTGCCTCGGAGTTCGATATTTTTGTTATTTTACGTTTTGAATCATGTCTGGATTTGATTATCACATAATCTATTTGTGAGGACCGTTTCTTTGCTTTGAATGAATTTCTCTACCTATTTTTGTTTAGGGGTTGATGACACATTGATGTATATCACACATAATTTAAAGATCATCCCAAAATTTTCGTCCATAAAGTTATTACTGATAAGCATCAATTGTTAAATCATTGTCGTGACGTCAGCCTATTCATTTACCGTTGATTCTAGATCTAGAATCAACGCTTCCTAAATCTGTCGCTGAAATGGACTCACCAAATTATATTCAATTGTTTCCTTTATATGTCTAATTTCATTAAGTTTGAATTGGCTAAATTTACTGATTTCTGTTCAATAATGGAATTAACTTAAAAACTTACCTTTAATTTTTGTAATTTCTATATGCCTTCACTGGGAATTGAACCCGTCCTTGAAATATGTTATGTGCTACTGATATCGACGAAACCACTCGGCTAGCAATGGCTTACGATTTTAATGTCTTTTTTATATATATAAATGAACATATGATATACATCGGTACAACGGACACACAGGGCTTATACCTTTATATATACATAATAGACAAACGTATATTATAAGTTGGTAGCCGCGAGGTTAACATGGTTAAGATCAATGAGTTAAATGTATGGACTAGTCGGTTTAGGTTCGAATCCCTGTATTCTCTTTGTTGTCCCTATTCTCTAGTTTTCCTTTTTTGTGTTTTTTTTTCTTGTTTTGTATGTTATTATGAATATTGTTTGTAATAATAGCAAGTTTTACTGTTTATTATTGGATTATTATTGGCTATTTCACATATTTGAAACGAAAATGATTACATTCTATTTGTCCATTTTTGTTTTATAATTATAGTATGATTCCATCTGTTTTACTGCATAATTTTACAAATGTTTATTCGCAAATTCCTATGCGAGAAAATCGTGATGTGCCTAGAATTAGGCTTCTTGTTAGAAATTTCGGTAACATACTTATTATATATGCTCTTTGGTCGGGTTGTTGCCTCTTTGACACATTTCCCATTTCCATTATAAATATTATTAGAAATAAGTTCGAATATATCTTATTTTGTAAAAACAGATACTATTCAGATGCCTGATAATATGAAGATCTTTAAAGGCAGAAGTGGTGTGTTATATTTGTATTTTTTTAACCATTTAATTGTGATCTTAGATTTATTAATGCGTCGTTGGACACGATAATATGGTTATTTAAACTCACTTTCAATACCTTCAAATTAAGAATAGTCTATAATTTTGAAAAAAAAAACATTAACACAATAGTTTAAGTTATAGATGCAATGGATAAGCGTTGATTCATAGAAAACAAACCATTCGCCCTCCGGGCTCATTGTTTCTTTTTCAAGAATCATGGTTTATCCATTGTATCTATATAACATAAAACATATAATGACATGATAATCTTCACTGTACTGCTCTCGAGAATAGCCAGAAATTGACAACACAAAGAACTCTACACTTTTGATAGTCATTATCTACAATATCTATAGATTTTTTTTCTCCTTGATAATTCCCTGTTCAATTTGAAAATTTTAGGTTTTGAAATAAGGTGATAATGTGTAGATCATTACAGTTATACCTAATTCTTTTTCTAATTAACAAAATATAGCATCTCAACCGAGATTACTCACATCGAATAGAAAAGCCAGTACAGCCAAACCATCTGTTGAATTTTTAGCTTCCTCAAACATTTTAAATCGTGCTGAATATGTAACAACATGCATCTGGAAAAAAATAAGTTTACCTTGAAAACATGTTAATTAGCTGTTTTCTATTTGTTATTATTATTAATATTATTAGAAGAAGAAGTAGTATAGTAAATAGATCGTGTGATAATCCAATGTTAAAAGGTTTCAATGTATTTAAAGATGTTCGTTACTCTCTTCCAAATTGCAAGTAAAAAAGACTGTTAAAATAGATAAATAGTATATTTATAATAACGGAACATAAAAGCAGAAAAAAATGAAAGGTCTGCGTCATTCTTTTTTCAGATATAATGAATTGAAAATATGGTAGCCAATGATTCTCCTTTATTTTTCATACATTTAACGCTGGTACCTTTTCTCAAAACTATTAAAAAATATCAACTATTTAATATAAATTTTAAAATGGCATTTTATGGCATGGATATGTTCCTATTATCGTAACTACAATCTCGTCCCCTTTTCTCGAATGTGACCTACTGAATTAGACTTATTACCGGGTTTGTAGTAACATAAGCAACACGACGGGTGCCACATGTGGAGCAACATCTGCTTACCCTTCCGGACAACCTGATATCAACCACAATTTTTGGTGGGGTTCGTGTTGCTCAGTCTTAGTTTTCTATGTTGTGTTTTTTGTACTATTGTTTGTCTGTTTGTCTTTTCTTTTTTGGCCATGGCGTTGTCAGTTTATTTTCGACTTTCTTTCTTAAACTATATATTATAAATTTGAAACGAGAAAAAATAAGGTTAAGCGGGAAATTTTTTTATTGGCACTATTATTCCGTGGATTTCTTTTTCTTTATAGTTTTTTTAAATATCTTACTCTGTCAAATCAACAGATGATTTATGTCATTCTATTTTGCATAAACTTATAATATGCATATTTATACATTAATTTACCTCCATAGGAAAGTACCTCCCGCTGATATCATGTTCTGACCCTCTGTTATCAGCTGAGCCCCAATGGAAGTGGAATTGTTTAACCATAAAGGGTCCAGGGAGTCCTCCACCAGTTACCAATAGGTTGTTCCGACCTTCAACGTCCACTTCAACTAAATGAAAAAATTAAAAAGTAACTAATTATTGTTAAAGAACCCCCAAAAAAGTATTTCTAGTGTTTTATGTTGAAATAACAAAACCAACACACTATAAAATTGAGAATGAAAATGGGGAATGTGTCAAAGAGACAACAACCCGACCAAAGAGAAAAAACAGCACAAGGTCACCAATGGGTCTTCAACACAGCGAGAAAATCCCGAACCCGGAGGTGGGTTTCAGCTGGCCCCTTAACAAAAATGTGTACTTGTTCAGTAAAACTGGACGTCACACTGAACTACAAAACATGTAAATGAACTAAAATTTAAAAAAACATACAAGACTTACAAAGGCCAAAGGTTCCCGACTTGGGATAGGCGCAAAAATGTAGCGAGGTTAAACATGTTTTGTGAGATCTCTACCCTCCCCTATTCTTCTAGTCATTATAAAATAAACAAACACACGGCAATACGCACAGTAAAACTCAGCTTAAAAGAAGTCCGAGTCCAATGTCAGAATAGGTTACAGAAAAAACTAAGCAAAATGACAATGATACATAAATTAACATGACTACTAGCAGTTACTGACATGCCAGCTCCAGACTTCAATTAAACAGATTGAAAGATTATGTCTGCATCATATGAAAATCAAGCACAATCCCTCTCGTTAGGGGTTTAGTATCATATCATTATAAATATGTGAGAAGAATATAACCCGTATCATGCCAACAACTGGTTTTAGAATAAATGTGTTTATTTCCGAAGTAAAGTCCCTATGAGTGAATCAATATCATTACCTAAATATGCCATCTTTAATGACCTGACAACAGTATCATAGTGGTATCGTAACTATATCCCTTCTGAATAAGTCTGTTTAAAGGTTTGGTTACCTTTTGAGGTGAATGAAGACATTTTTGTGCTTTTATAGAATATTACCATAAAAGATTGGATGTAAAATACCTGAACGTATAAGATAGTGACAAGGGAAGTCACCATCTAAAATTGATAATTAACAATAGGAAATGAAAAATCATCTCTTTTATCGTAAATTTTGTATTAAGCTTCCCGTTAAAGATATAGATATCAAGATCCAGGAAAAGGCAGTGTTCGTTGTTAGTATTAGCTTTATTTAAAGTCAATTCAGCAGGATAAATCTCTTTAGTGTACATACTGAAGTCGTCATTATTGAGAGCCAAAATATCATCAAAATATCTAAAAGTGATATTAAATTTTTGAATCAGATGTTGTTTTGATGGGTCTTTGCTGATTTAAGTCAAAAATTGTAACTCATCACAATACAGAAACAGGTCCGTAACACGTGGTGCACAGTTAGTCCCCATTGGAATTCCGATTGGAACACCATATTCATAGTAAAAGAAGTTTTATGCGATGGAAAGGAGAATAAAGTTGGTTTTTTTTTAAACAAACTGACAAAAAAATTAGAACAAAGCATTACAAAATGAAATTGAAATTCCACTTTGAATGCAACTTATCACCATAGGTTTACTTCATATTAGCAATATGACGGGGTTAATTGCTATAGCAGTATTTTTTTTTAATTCCAAACTACATGCGAAAATAATATTCAATATATCTCTAAGTTATCACGAATTCACAAGCCTATCCATCAGAGCTGGCATGCCAAAATACCAAAGCTGGAATACCTTTGTCACTTTTCTTGTATAACTTTCAAAAATGATTAAATTTCTTTTAAACAAGGTATTAAATAAAACTGGAAATCAACATCAAGTTTAGAAAACCTGCATTACTTCTAACTGCTTAATTTCATGATGTTAGTTAGATTATTTTTTTAATTTGATGTAACTATCATTGTTTTTCTTTTTAGTTGATTTTTCCATATTCAACCTATTTATTATGATTTAAAGACATATTGTGCATTATAATTTACCTTAAGAAATAAATTGCAAACACTTGATAGAATGGCTAAACCTTTACATGTTATGTAAACATGAAAACTTGGGAACTAAGCTTATTCCATGCATGCATGGACGAAGGCAACTAACGTTAACTTAGTCATGCTTGCATGGACTAACACACCAGACTTAGTCCATGCATGCATGAGCTAACCTAACTTTGCATAGACATTTGAAATTATTCAATGATTCAAACAGACTTAGTCCATACAAGCATGGACTAAGTTAACATTAGTTGCCTTCGTCCATGCATGCATGGAATAAGGTTAGTTCCCAAGTTTTCATGTTTACATAACATGTAAAGGTTTAGCCATTCTATCAAGTGTTTGCAATTTATTTCTTAAGGTAAATTATAATGCACAATATGTCTTTAAATCATAATAAATTGGTTGAATATGGAAAAATCAATTTGAAAGAAAAAAATTATAGTTACATCAAATTAAAAAATAATCTAACTTACATCATGAAATAAAGTGGGAAGGAGTAATGCAGGTTTTCTAAATTCGACGTTGATTTCCAGTTTTATTTAATACTTTGTTTTTAGTACATACTGTTTGCTTTGACTCTAATAGTTGTTATATTTATACAAAATCATCGTCTATAATATTTTTGTTCATTTGTTTGACTTATTTGCCGTAGTACCGACCTGTATGTCCATTATTTTTCAATGTCAATCGTATATTGTTAATAACATTTATATCATTCAAATCAAAAGCTCCTAACTGTTCATTGAGGACTACATCCTTCATCTCGATATGGACTGGTGATTGACGACGACCCCCACAGGTTCTGTATTCAATCGGCCATTGTGAAGGAGCTACAAAATAAAACTTAAATTAACGCATTTCCTCACTTTCTACAAAATGTTCTGTTTTCAATCGACCATTGTGAAGCAGCTACAAAATAAAACAGAAATTAACGTATTTCTTCACTTTCTACAAAATGTTCTGTATTCAATCGACCATTGTGAAGCAGCTACAAAATAAAACAGAAATTAACGTATTTCCTCACTTTCTACTATATGTTCTGTATTCAATCGACCATTGTGAAGCAGCTACAAAATAAAACAGAAATTAACGTATTTCCTCACTCTTTAGAAACTGTTCTGTATTCAATCAGCCATTGTAAAAGAGCTACAGAATAAAACAGAAATTGACGTATTTCTTCACTTTCTACTATATGTTCTGTATTTAATCGACCATCGTGAAGGAGCTACAAAATAAAACTTAAATTTACGTATTTCCTCACTTTCTACAAACTGTTCTGTATTCAATCAGCCATTGTAAAAGAGCTACAGAATAAAACAGAAATTGACGTATTTCTTCACTTTCTACTATATGTTCTGTATACAATCGGCCATTGTGAAGCAGCTACAAAAGAAAACTTAAATAAACATATTTCGTCAATTTCTGCGATGTTTCAAAATAGAAATTGTCACCTAAAAGATTTAATCGGCTGTTTAATATTCAGTTAAACCATTAAGTACATGCGAAGATTAAATTCAGGTAATGAAAAAAAAATCTTTGATAAACGACGAAACTCATGTTTTTCGGCAAGATGTAGTTTTTAATAGATAGCCTTCTTTGTCAGATTTTTGTAGATAAAGTGCAAACCATGCAATAGAACAGAACATAAACGATAGAATTATTCAATTGAAAGAGAGCTTTCGTTGAATATCAATAGGAGTGTCTGTTGTTTTTTGGGGTTTTTTTTTGTTGCTACATTGGTAAGTTTCACTTGATATTAATGCAGGTAACAACTTTGTAGATGCCTCCATTAAATATAATGACTTAATTCAGTAATCAGAAGTTACCATGATTAAAGGACACGAATATATTTTAGTCTTAGATGCATGAATTGTTTTATTAGTTGTTATTGGCTTTGAACTAGCTGTCATTAACTGCGAGTACTGTAAATAAAGGCAACAGTAGTATACCGTTGTTCGAAACTCATAAATAGATAGAAATAAAAACAAATCCGGGTTACAAACTAAAACTGAGGGAAACGCATCAAATATAAGTGGAGAACAACGACACAACAAAAACACAACATTAAAATGTAACACACACAGAAACGAACTATAATATAACAATGGCCATTTTCCTGACTTGGTACAGGACATTTTAAGAAAAAAATGGTGGGTTGAACCTGGTTTTATGGCATGCCAAACCTCCCGCTTTAATGGCAACGTCAAACACAACACCAAAACGACAACATCACATGACAGGACCACAGTACAAATAAATGGGAGAACATATAGGACAAAGAAACACACGAATAATAGCTAACAAAAGGTACTAGGCTTAAAATTCAATACGACAGACGTACGTCTCGTCTGTACTTGGTGTCTTTTTTGTTGTTGGGATGTACAAGTACCCGTCCACGTCCACTCTGTGTTTTTATTAGATGTATTTCTATTTGTATCCATCTGATGAGTTAAGCCTTTTTCAACTGATTTTTATAGTTTGGTCTTAATATGTTGTACTGTTACACCACTGTCCCAGGTTAGGGGAGAGTTGGGCGCCCACTAACATGTTTAACCCCGCCACATTCAGTCTGTGCCTGTCTCAAGTCAGGATCCTGTAGTTCAGTGGTTGTCATTTGTTGCTGTGTTACGTATTTGTTTTTCGTTCATCATTTTGTACATAAATTAGAATGTTAGTTTTCTCGTTTGAATTGTTTTACATTTGTTATTTCGGGGCCTTCTATAGCTGACTATACGATATGGGCTTTGTTCATTGTTGAAGGCCGTAAGGTGACCTATCGCTGTTAATTTCTGTTTCATTTGTTCTCTTGTGGAGAGTTGTCTCATTGGCAATTATATCACATCTTCTTTTTGCGTCAACCCCTTGAGTTTTGGAAGTGTCTATGGGCCATTCGATATCCTTGGAATCAAGATTCTCGGAACGTCTCAAACATTTTCGATCATTTATACAGATAGTTATCTATGTCTTTGATACGGTCCCTCTATGGATAGGCTACCACGTGACATTGTATAGTAAGTAAGTAAGTAAGTAAGTAAGTAAATTTGCCTTTAAAAATTTGACAAAACATACAAGTTTTTAATGATCTGGGGCCGTATGCATAAACATCTTAATTTAAGTGTTCCTTAAACGTAGATTTCACTAAGAACTCCCGAGTTAAGCAAAATTCTTAAGTCATATGCACAAAACTACTTAAGTTGGCACTTAGCTCAGATAATTTTAAGTATGAATGTTATCGGAACCTTTCTCTATTTACCGTATAAAATGTTAACTCAATGAATAAACTCATAATTACAATTTGTTGTTTTGAATATTATAATGCTTGACTGAACGACGCACGATTTCTTTGCGTGTTTTTGGTTGTATATAAGGTTGGGTATGTTTGAATTCAAATTTACCTTTAATACATAATCATATCGAACATGTCAAAGCGAAAGCCAAATTGGACAGAGAGAGAAAAAAAACATTTTGATGGAGGAATACGAGAAGAAGCGACATATTTTAAAGGCCAAATTCTCATCCACTCTGACTTCTGGAGATAAGACAAGAGCCTGGGAAGAAATAGCAAACTCAATAAATTCTGGAAATAGCGTCAGAAGAAATACAAAAGACATTCAAAAGAAATGGGACAATATTTGCGCGACAGCAAAAACTGAAGTTTCGGCGCACCGACGCAGTCAAAAACATACAGGTATAAAAAATATCTTAAATATCTATATCATTTTTCATTAAATTTTGTTAGTATTTCTTGCAGTTGTACTTCGGACGTAAAGAGAAAAGAGTATAACTTGTAAAAACAATACCACGTAGCATGTACATGTATCCTTTGCAGGATAGAAAATGATATAGACTTTCACATTTCAGACTCGCTACACAAACATGTACGTGTTCGTAATTTATCTAATGCTTTTATTTTGACCTTTTGTGTTCCAACTACCGGGATTGATATAAGGAATAAAGTAGCTTTTCGTTTTAAGTCATACATGTTTGTGAGTTATTTACACATATACTTGGACATTAATTGAGTGGTAACCTTTCCTATTAACAAATTGCTCTTCATGCTGTGAAGGAGCTATAATCCTAACGTGTGTGCCGTCAATCAGTCCTAAAACATTGGGAAAATTAGCAACTGCGTAAAATTTAACCTTATTCTCCTCTATTACATGAGCACTTGGAAATTTAATGAATTTAGGGGCTCTTCTGACTAATACATTAGAAACTGAGTGAATCGTTCTAGAAACGGTTGACTGGTCAATATTGAAGGTATCAGCAATAATGTTTTGAAAGGACCCACTAGCATAAAATCTAAGTGCAATTAAAACCTTCGTGACTGGAGGTATTGCATGGTTACGAAGTGTTGAACTCTCTAAATCTTCTTGTAACAAATCAGCAATCTGCAGAATAGTTTGCCTATCAAAACGAAATCTCTTTACTAATTCCAAATCATCGTACAGATCAAGCGGATTTGTTCTATCTCTAAAGACACGTTCCCTTCTCATAGCCCTCCTTCATGCTAACAACCGATACCGAGCAATGTGAAACATATTGTATTTGAACAACCTAAAGTATGAGTTTATTTATATAGAAATACATGAACAAAGGGAATCAAAGAAAAGACATAAGCACGCATTCCATGGGTGCCAAAATAGTGAACTATATTCTCATTATTACCGGTATGTTGTTCCATCGGGGAAATCCGTACAACAAAGACGGGATGAAATAACATAACTACCCTTGTATCCACCCCTTTTATGCATGATGAATATATATTGGCAATATAAATATTTAATATCATACAATTAATGATGTTGGGAGTAAATGGTAGCTAACCTAAAATATTTTTGACATACCACACACTTATAACTGATGTTAATCAAATTTCTTGAACTTTAAGGTACCTCCATAGGTGCCTTAAACTTAAGTAGGATCTTATGTGTTTTCTAAGTTTAAGGGGTTTTATGCATACCACTTAAGTGTTGGGGGCGGGATTTAAACCAACTAAAATTTTACTAAGGAAATACTTAGTTTAAGATTGTTTATGCATACCACTTAAATAAAAAGGGCGGAGTTTCCTTAACTTAAGTGTTTACTAAGGAAAATCTTAACTTAAGTAGCTTTATGCATACGGGCCCTGAATGTTTATTAAATATCGAGTATAATGAAAACGCAACTATATAATTAATGCTCGGACTTCTCTTAAACTGAGTTTTACTGTGCGTACTGTTGTACGTTTGTTTTTTCTCCATTGGCTAGAGGTATAGGGGGAGGGTTGAGATCTCAAAAACATGTTTAACCCCGCCGCATTTTTGCGCCTGTCCCAAGTCAGGAGCCTCTGGCCTTTGTTTGTCTTGTATCATTTTTAAATTTTAGTTTCTTGTGTATAATTTGGAGTTAAGTATGACGTCCATTATCACTGAACTAGTATACATATTTGTTTAGGGGCCAGCTGTAGGACGCCTCCGGGTGCGGGAGTTTCTCGCTGCATTGAAGACCCATTGGTGGCCTTCGGCTGTTGTCTGCTCTATGGTCGGGTTGTTGTCTCTTTGACACATTCCCCATTTCCATTCTCAATTTTATTTGAGACGGTCCCTGGTTTACGCGTTGTGTGTGTAGTATTAAATACAACGTGCTGTTGTGCATTTTGACAATAAACCTGGGAATAGTATATTGATATATTATGTCCCGGAAAAAAACTGATTATTTCTGATCTTTTATCATTTGTCAATGATATTTTGTATTTCAATCATAGCATGGGAAAATGTAGG